TTCCGTCACCTCTCTAGTTTTTCCTTTATATTAAGCTTTGTTTTAGTTCCATGCGTTTGTTGATGGTTGAAATGGTGACGTCATACATCTGCGTGACGGTCAAAATACTGCCAAAACACTAGGTCTTGGCCATCTAGTGGGAAAATATAAAATATTGAGATCCAAAGAGAGACAATGCATGCCACATGATGAGATCATCGAAAAATGTGTCAAATTTGACAGTTGACATGGCTCTACCAAATAGTGAATAACTGTTTTTATAGGAAGAATATCATGGTTTGAGACTTTTAAATACATCTGTGAATATATTAGGAATGATAAGGAATCCTTTAAGTATACTTGTATTTGCTGATTTCAAGTGGTAAATAAATTAATAGATGATTAAGTTGAGAAATGGATTTAGACACATGAAAACTAATTCCGACACAACTTGAATTGGACACACACAGATCGTTCCAAGTTTTGTACAAAAATTGAAATTTGCTTAATTAATAGCCTAATAGCTGTTAATTAAAACGTAATTAAGTAGTGTTCAATATTCGTTAGTGTTCTAATTCAAAGCCGTGTTGTATCCCAATACAGCTCACACAGCAAACGGAATTCAAACACGTGGATGTCAGCATTACGTATCAGTTAAATTTGAAGCGCTGACGCAATACGACTCACCACATGTCGAATATTGCCACACACAGTAACGGAATATAGGGATTTGGTAAATTGGTAGGTTTCCATTCTGAAGGCTTTTTAATAAATATGGCAACATTTTGTGACGTTTCATCATTGCTGACGCGTAGTGCGGTGTTTTGAGAGTCACGTGAAGCCAACAGAACTTACGTAACGCATACGTTTTTTTTATAGTTTTTCATTTCTCGATGCGTCCTTAATGTGTCGGAATATACCGCATTTACCCTAGATGTATTCCAGGCACCAGGCTTGATCTCAATCCAGGCTGTAAAGTAATGCCTTTCAGCTTGAGATATTAGCGTCTTTTCAAGCTCTCCATCAGCCACCTTGAGTCCCTCGGGCAGCCATGACCAATCATAAACTATAGAATGCTTGATCAGCCCTGCCGTCACTGCCCGCATCTTCAGCTTGTTTGATTGGTTGTATCTGTCACCCAATCACAATGTGCATACGTCTGATGCGCCCAATGCTACTGCTAAAAACTTGTCAATCTATTGTGTTCTAACGCAATCTATTGTGCTCTAACGTGTTGTGGAATGTGGCGCATGAATGTAACAAGATGTATTGCGTTCTTACTCGATCTATTGCATTCTAACGCAACCTATTGCATTTTAATGCAATATATTACATTCTAACATGATCTATTGCATTTTAGTGCGATTTATTGCATTTTACTGCAATCTATTGCGGTCTATTGTGTTCTAATGCAATCTATTGCATTCTAACACAATCTATTGTGTTCTAATGGTGTCTATTGCATTCTAATGCAATCTATTGCGTTCTAATGCAATCTATTGCATTTTAACATAATCTGTTGCGTTTTAATGCAATCTATTGTGTTTTAAAACAATCTATTGCGTTCTAACACAATCTATTGCATTCAAATGCAATCTATTGCATTCTAACACCATTTATTGCATTTTAATGCACTCTATTGCACTCTAAAGCAATTTAATGTAACCTAATATCTAATGTATCCTAATGCAATCTAATGCATTCTAATGCAATCTCGTGCATTCTAATGCAATCTCGTGCATTCTAATTCAATCTAATATAACCTAATACAATCTAGGCTAATGCATTCAAAATCAAACTGACACTTACTACTGCAATCTAAAGCATTCTAATGCAATCTTATGAAACCTAATGTAATGTAATGCAATCTAATGTACCCTAATTCAATTTAATGCATTCTAAATATTGCAATGAAATCTAGTGCAATCAAATAAAATCTCAATGCATTTTTACACATTCTAATTCAGTTTATTTAATTTTACTGAATTAGGTTGGCTTGAATTGGGCTGGAATGATTTGATTAGGGTTAAATTTGGTTGGGTGTGGTTGAATTGGGTTGAATCAAGTTGGAACAAGTTGGATTGGTTTTGTTTGAATATGGTTTAATTGGATTGAGTTTAATTGAATTTTGGTTGAATTGAGTTAGGTGGGGTTGAATTTGTTTAGATTGAATTGGGTTGAGTTGGTTTTGGTTGAATTGAATTGGGTTGGGCTGGGTTGGTTTTGCCATTTTGGTTGAATTGGGTTGGGTTGAACTGGTTTTGGTTAGATTGGGTTGAATTTGGTTAGATTGGGTTAAATATGATTAGGATGAATTGGTTGGGTTGAATTGGGAAGGATTGGGTTGATTTGAATTGGGATCAATTGGTTTTGGTTGATTTGGGTTGGGTTTTGTTAGATTGGGTTGGGCAAATTTGGTTAGGATGAATTGGGCTGAGTTGCATTGGGAAGGGTTGGGTTGATTTGAATTGGTATCAATTGGGTTTGGTTGAATTGGTTATGATTGAATTGGGTTGGGTTTGGTTAGATTGGGTTGGGTTAAATTTGATTAAGATGAATTGAGTTGGATTGCATTGGGTTGGGTTGGATTCAGTTAGATTGGCTTGGGTTCAGTTAGATTGGGTTGGGTTAAATTTGATTAGGATGATTGAATTGGGTTGGGTTTGGTTAGATTGGGTTGGGTTAAATTTGATTAAGATGAATTGAGTTGGATTGCATTGGGTTGGGTTGGATTCAGTTAGATTGGCTTGGGTTCAGTTAGATTGGCTTGGATTCAGTTAGATTGGCTTGGGGTCAGGTAGATTTTGTTGGGTTCAGTCAGATTAGGTTGTTTGAATTTGGTTGGGATGAATTGGGTGAGGTTGAATTGGGTTGGCTTGGTTCAGGTGACTGGACTAATGATGTAGTCTGTTTATTTAAAATGATTTATCACAAGCTGCTTTGTTATCCATTGTCAGTGCCGTGAGGCTCTCTCAACACAAGCACTCAAATACATGCACTTAGAACCATCGGAACTGTGTGCTACATCGAGTACAGTAGTTCTGGTGTCTCTGAGTGCGTATGCTTGGATGCTCATATATACACTCTCACAGCCATCAGAACTGCGCGCTACGTTGCATGGTTCTGGTGGCTCTGAGCACAAATGCTTGGGTGCTCAAGTATACACGCTCACAGCAAACAGAACTACGTGCTACAGCACGTAGTTCAGGTGGCTATGAGCGTATATACTTAGGTGCTCAAATGTAGCTCTCACAGCCATCGGAACTATGCGCTACAGTGCATAGTTCAGATGGCTATGAGCATGTATGCTTAGGGGCTCAAATGTACCTCTCACAGCCATTGGAACTACGCGCTACAACACATAGTTATGATCGTAGTGTGTAGATCAATACAGTGCATTGGCCATATTGATCATAAATTGCGATTTATGGAGAAGCATAATTGGTGACCGGCGTCCAGTGGCGTCCACCACGGCATCTTTGGCACATGAAATCGGCATCCTCGACCTATGTTGTGCCATGCTTTACAGTCTGGATTCTCAATGACTGTATATGACAGATTGGACTGTTCATAGTTATGACGCTTAAGTGGTCACTTAAATCAGCATTCAGCAGCTGCCACTGGCTCTGCAGTCTGCACTGCACTCAAATGACGCAATTTGCCACTTGTCAGTTGTCAATAAAAAGATAAAAACCCTATTGTGGCTTGTAATCTCAACTGGTCAGAACTGAAGTATGATTTCAGATTTGTGGGGTTTAATTATAATATACACATATGATTGATAATAACTAGAAACTAGAGTCTAGAAAGCTGTCCACCTGTTACTATCGTCAATCTGCAATCATAAAATTGGAATTTGAATTGGGTGCATGCTGGCCAGCCTGACCTCTGGTCATGACCTTTGAATTGGTCATGAAGTTTTAGGTCATAGTGGCAAATCAGTGGGAATCTGATAAAAGGATTAGTCTGACATACCAATTAGATTAGAATCTCTTGGCTCCAAGCCTCCAAACACAGCGGAAAAGCTTTAGTTGCAGCTTGAAAAGTAGATATATTTAGTGCCTGCACCAGAGTGACCAGACCTGTCACCAGCCTTAACCTTTGAGCCTGTCTCAAGATATAGGTTTTTGGGAAATATATTCTCTCTTAAAATGGGTTTCCCAGATCTAATGGTCCACACTCCACACAGTCTGCACAAGTGAACAGAAGTGACAGAACTATCTTGATACCATGCAGGTTGCGGGATTGCACATGGATGTACAGGTGACAAAAAAAATGCGTTTAATGCTGCCTGTGTTGGCTATGAGATTGTATTTTACTATCCTAGAGTCACAGGACTAGTCACATAAACTTATTACTGTATTAGTGACCATACAAATTTATAGGAATGTTTGCTGCATGCATATCACAGCACTGTTTGGCTATGTAGTATGCATATTAGTGACTCTACTTACTTTCAACACCAGCTGGTGCTGATGGCTGTGGCAATTCTAATGTGCCAATTCTACAATTGCCAATTCTAATGTGCCAATTCTAATGTGCCAATTCTACAATTCCATAATTGTATCCTTGTGCAAGTGCGGCACGCCAATGCACATACCATACAAACTTTAGATGCCAGCAGCTGTGGCTACCGTGCTACGCAATCAGAATGTGACTGTTTTGTACAGCCAGCACAATCCATTGGCTCCAGGAAGCTCATTTTTTAGTCCTAAATTCCTCTACATCTTTCTGAACATGGTATCTAAATACTTGAATGCTTAAGCTGTTTAATTTCTTGATATGTATCTTCCTTTGAATGTCCTGATGGTTTTCTTCTTTGAGCAGATTATGTGTTAGGTAAATTTTTACTTCAAAATGGGTGAAGTAAAGGGACCAACACAGGAGGATGCCAAGGCACACACAGCTTCAGATAGCTTGTCTATCCCCATTGAAACTCTCCTCCAGTGTGATGATTTAACTAAGCTTCCATTATTGTACCCCAAAACAGGTAATATTACATGCAGACTTATTCCATTTGTGCTGTCATGCAAAATGTTACCTATGTCATTTTTGACTACTTTGTACAAAATTATCTGCCTGAATCCAAGAGATCCTATTTATGTCTTCATGATGGCCAAGTTTTTGGTGAATAACCTATACCGCTTGTTTATAAGATTCATTACTTCTTTTTCAAACATAAACTTTAAATCTTTTGTAATGGTTTTGGTGTAGCTGCCAACTTGAAAATTTGGCAAATGCCATAAATAATTTAGCTAAACTGCTTGTGCCCACAAATGATTTTGCCTCAACCCATGGACTTATATGCCTGGAAATCTACATCAGTAGACTGAAGTATTTATCTAGGTTTTGCTTGTTCTGAGGAGAGGTTTTATATTATATTTGTCTATTGAGATTGTAAACTTTGCAGTACACTTTAGTCCTTGCAATCGCTTGAAAATTGTTGTCATTATTTGTGTCATTGGAACTAAAATTTTAATTTCATTGTTTTAACAAAAATTTTATAGCATTTATCTATCTTAATTCCTTAGTGTGGTTGAATTTTTTGCTTTGTAGGCTATGAAAAAGTTTAGTTTGAATATAACTATTTTTTATCTTCAGAGATTTTAAACTGCAACATGAATGTATAGTACTTATTTTTAAATGTTTTTGAATCATTTGGAATCGCAGTTGGATCAATTTTCCCCTAGCTATTCTAATTTTAAAGTCAAGATCTACCAATAACTTGGTTGTTTACTGAGCAGTTGTGGAGTGTGTCAGGGAACGTTACTTGAAGCAGCAGTTCTACACGTGGGCGGGACCAACCTTGGTGGCTGTAAATCCTTGCACAGAATATCCTGTCTTGTACAACCAGACGCAGCTACAACACTTCCACAATGCAGTGCAGGTGGGTTTAATTTAAATATGGTAACATTTATAGCTGAATGCAGAAAATGAAATGGGTTATTAGCCAAAAAATAATTGATCCAGCTAAACTAATTTTATAAATTATGAATTTTATCATTAATACTTGAAGGATTCAATTATTTGATACATGTGAAATGAAAGTAATTATGAGGCACGCTTTATTTAATACGGTATTATCTGATTTATAATCTGACTAATGATTTATTAAGAATTGTTTGATTTGCTGATTTATCAATTAAACTGGATCCGAAAAAACCCCAGAGTTTTTTATACAATATGGTCAAGCAATACAATATTCATAAGTGAAAATGTTGCCATGTTTATGGTTCATAAAAGGCATATTATTTTATCACTCTAAATTCTTTCCATGGTTTTTGTATAATAGGGTTTTAATTCAATGTCTGTTCAATTGAATTTCATCAAATTGAACTGTATACAATATAAATATTAACATGTAAAATTACATTCATATTGGCTACCTCTTCCTGTCAGTGACCAATGATTTTGATGTGAGATCTTGAGTAATTGTTGAAAGTCACTACCGGTACTAAAAATCTGACAAGGCAGTTGAATTACTGCAAATATTTTTGATGCAAAAATCAATCTATCAATAGCTTTGATACATAAATCAATCTATCAATAGCTTTGATATATGAATCAATCTATCAATATTATCAGAATAAACATATATCAATCAATAATTTAATATTTTCAAAATATCTATCACAATACAGAGTGGGAGCGGAAGCATTGCTCCGCACGTGTATGCGGTTGCCGGCATGTCGGAGCACAGATGCTCAGCAGCGCTGGGGCGCGTCAACCAGGCTGTGCTGGTGTCTGGGGAGAGTGGTGCTGGCAAGGTGAGATCAGTGCAAGATGGAATATATTATTCTGTTTAGTAGTATTAATATTCCATTATGATGGGAAATCAATATTCTATTATTCTGGTTTTTATACAAGGTAAAAAAGTCAAAGGTAACTGCACTATTAGATTCATGATGTATAAACAAAAGTTTGCATGAAATATGTTATTATGTAATAATTGTATTATTCCTGTTAGGTTTGTGTTATGTTTCTGGTGTAACAACAAGTTATTGGCTATCCTAAGAAAAGATCGTGGTGTGAAACATCAGTAATTAGTTGGGTGCTCCTTAGTTTCTTCACTGTCTTCTATGCTCATTACAAGATATTTGTACAAATCAGGGTTGGTGATTTTTTGATTTTTTTTTTTAAAATCAAAAAAAATCAAAAATCAATGATTTTTTTTATTTTTTCATGATTTTTTTTATTTTTTCAGCTTTTATGTCTTTTTGAAGTGTTATTTTTTATTTTGCAATTAGCCTACTAACAATAACAGTATATGGATCATAATGGATGGCTAAAAAAGGCACTTATTGCCTTCAATAATGGCCAACAGGCCAAGGTGGTGTTTACCACTTCGGGATTTTTGGGTAAACAATTATTGATGAGTCTATTCATTAGCTTTGTAAAGTTTGTATGGAGCAAGGTAATGAGCTAAATATTGACCATTTAGCTGACTTCAATACACAAAAACACTTCAGGAATGCAGATCTTCTAAACATTGAAGTCACATAACAGATAGGTAGCTGATAAGCGCGGCCTCAGAGACACGCTCGCTGCCATGCAGCTCCTCGAGTTCTCTGAGCAACAGCAGCAACAAGTGCTCAGAGTGGGTCAAGTTAGAAGCCCATGAGTGGGTCAAGTTAGAAGCCCATGAGTGGGTCGAGTTAGAAGCCCATAAGTGGGTCAAGTTAGAAGCCCACAAGTGGGTCAAGTTAGAAGCCCATAAGTGGGTCAAGTTAGAAGACCATGAGTGGGTCAAGTTAGAAGACCACGAGTGGGTCAAGTTAGAAGCCCATAAGTGGGTCAAGTTAGAAGCCCATGAGTGGGTCTAGTTAGAAGCCCATGAGTGGGTCGAGTTAGAAGCCCATAAGTGGGTCAAGTTAGAAGCCCACAAGTGGGTCAAGTTAGAAGCCCATGAGTGGGTCGAGTTAGAAGCCCATGAGTGGGTCGAGTTAGAAGCCCATAAGTGGGTCAAGTTAAAAGCCCATAAGTGGGTCAAGTTAGAAGCCCATAAGTGGGTCAAGTTAGAAGCTGTCTCTTATACACATCTAGATGTGTATAAGAGACAGCAAGGTATCCTGTGGGAGACAAGGTATCCTGTGGGGGACAAGGTATCCTGTGGGGGATAAGGTATCCTGTGGGGGATAAGGTATCCTGTGGGGGATAAGGTATCCTGTGGGGGATAAGGTATCCTGTGGGGGATAAGGTATCCTGTGGGGGATAAGGTATCCTGTGGGGGATAAGGTATCCTGTGGGGGATAAGGTATCCTGTGGGGGATAAGGTATCCTGTGGGGGATAAGGTATCCTGTGGGGGATAAGGTATCCTGTGGGGGATAAGGTATCCTGTGGGGGATAAGGTATCCTGTGGGGGATAAGGTATCCTGTGGGGGATAAGGTATCCTGTGGGGGACAAGGTATCCTGTGGGGGATAAGGTATCCTGTGGGGGATTGGGTATCCTGTGGGGGACCAAAGTAGCCTGCAGTACATACAGTGAATAAAATTGATGAAGGATTTGTAATAACGCAATTCTGATAATATGGCTCCTTGGAACCTCATGGGCACTGTGCCCTCCAAGGAAAGGTATCGTGTGGGGGGATAAGGTATCCTGCAGGATCTACTTAGATTTAAATAGTGAAGGGTAGGTTATTGAACAATCCTATTGAAGGTGTTCTATGAGTGGAATAAGGAAAAAATATAAAGCTAAATCTAGATTGATTATGTCATTACAGTATTTACCACCACTATTACTTCTTCGGAATGCATTAATATATATTGTATTACGGTGTTAGGCAGTACAGTTATACTTCGACTTACGAACACCTCAACTTGCGATATTCTCCAGATTTGAACAGGAGCTTCAAGATTTTACCTACATGCCTTACACTTCTGATCATATCTTGCTTACAAAACTAATTTCAGAACCGACTCGATGCCATATTTTATTTACATGTGTCAATAAACATTAAATTCCAATATTGTTTCCACATACAAACATGTTCATACAAAACCAGTCACAGAACAAATTAAGTTCATAAGTCAAATTATCACTGTATCCTTGAGGACTCTACTGTAGCTATCCTTTGGAACTATTAGTACTGTAAGAACCTTGTGGTGCTTGGGCCTGTCATAAAACATAACTCTCCACACTTTAGTTGCTTACAACTTCTGCAATGGAATAAAAAGGATTTTTTTTTACAATGGAGAAGTCAATAAACTTTGCAGGCAACAGCGTTGGTTTGCACGTGCTCAGGCACGTGTGTTAGTGCAGTGGGCGTGTTTACGTATGATTTATGTATGATTTATACAAATTGTCACTTATCCCACGTGCAGGTGAGCGTGTTCAGACACGCATGTGAGCGTGTGGAGGAGTGTAGGGAGCGTGTGAGCGCGTGTATGCAGCTGCTCTACGACTCACTCTTCCAGCGCCTTATTTCACTCATCAATGAGCAGATCGCCGCACCACGCCACTCTTGGGCAAACTTTATTGGTATGCCAATTATTGTAATTTTTTAATATATATGTTATTAATTTATATCATTCCATGATTTGTTGGTAACCTCCAAGGCCTGTGTTTGCTCTCTTTCTACTGTAAACGGCGGACCTCGATCACTATCAGCCGCGTTCATTTTATTAATCTCATGTGCATACCGAAAGCCACCTCCAGCGTAGGTGCCTTAGTAACATTGATGTCGGACCTTAACTTCAGCGGTAGCAACATAGTACAAGGTCAGGTCTGAGTGGCTGTGAGTTGGTGAATCAGTTAGTCAGTAGTGTCCCGCCAGCTCTACGGTGAGGTTCTTACCTGAACTCACTCCGCTTTATCAACTCTCAGCAGTTCTGTGCTCTAACGCTAGAGTCGTGGCTGTGCTGCGGATAATTTATTAAACTGTTTCTCGATCATGAACCTGATGTAAATTTAGTTTGATATTTTAAACTAGCCTGTTTTAAACTGTTACTTACTGGAATAAAATACGTTTTATCCATGTTAACCGAAGTTTTAATTGACCAAAACCCAGTGCAATAAAGTACAATTTAAATTTTATCAAAACAGCGTATTTTTACAAGATACTTGCCAACGTTTGGCCTGTTTTGCTCAAAGCATTCTGACATGATTAAAGGTCGCGGCAAACTTCTGGTGACGCTACTTTTGAAATGTTTATATTCTGTTAGTATTTTATGTTGGCAGGTTTGTTGGACGTGTATGGCCTGTCTCTTATACACATCTAGATGTGTATAAGAGACAGCNGTAATAATTGTATTATTCCTGTTAGGTTTGTGTTATGTTTCTGTTGTAATAACAAGTTATTGTCTGTCCTAAGAAAAGATCGTGGTGTGAAACATCAGTAATTAGTTGGGTGCTCCTTAGTTTCTTCACTGTCTTCTATGCTCATTAAAAGATATTTTTACAATTGGCATCGATAGTTTTGACAGTATTTTTTCAAGAATTATTTTTAAAAATTTTGAGTAAAATGCATTTTTAGCTCTAATCTTCATGATTTTTGTCATCTTTCTTTTTATTTATGATTGAAGTAAAGATCTGTCCAAAAACTCAACAATGTCATGGTCCAGTTGCAGTTAGAACTGTTGAGTCTGCAAGGTTCATGTATATGGTGAAAATAAATAAATTTGCTTCTAAAATCATACATTCTATTGTCACTTCCACCAGACTGAATCAGCACGGTTCATGCTCAAGTATTTGTGCTATGTTGAAGACAGCAAAAAAGCACATGGCAGGTCTGGTGATGGTAACATTGGAGTTATACGCCACACTCAGTCGAAAGTACTCGCCAGCAACCCTCTGCTGGAGGCTTTTGGCAATGCTGCTACACTGCACAACCATAACTCCAGCAGGTGCAATCTTATGTCTAATGGGTCAATTTTATTGTCTAATTTTGAAATATTATTTCTTAGCATATGGGGAAATTGTACATTTTGTGTAATTTGCTTCCACTTTCGTTGCATGCATTCTGATGTGATGTACAACGCTGTCACTGCCATACTGTGCATCCAAAGCTTCAGCTGGTGCAATCTCCTTGAATTTCATGGGATGCTATTGAGTTTATATATCTAAATTTCTTGAATTATCAAATTTATGTAATAATTTCCCACTTGAGTCGCATTCATTTTATTGTGAAGCAGATTAAAGTCATTACAGACTTGTTCTAAATGTTGTGTTTTATACATCTTTTGTGCAGCTTCTTTTGAATGTAATTTCTTCCCTGCTTTATATTGAATTAAAAATCTTTTCACATGTCTTGGAGTGTATGCTTGAAAATACAAAGTATGCAATTATAGGATGCAAAAAAATCAAAAGTTTCTGTGGTATTCAATTCATTGTTTTAACAATGATGCTTTCATCATCCCTTGTGTTGTATTGAATGACAAACAAGTGGTAAACATTTCATCCATGTAGAAGCTACAAATGGATGTTTTAACTTGGAATTCAGCCCCCAAACTTCCATGCCTTCTTTAAGTGCTCACAAAATTGTGTATTTTGAGCTCAGGATATGTGTTCATGTTTTTGTTTTATTTTCCAGATCCTTTAACATTTTATGCCAGATTCTAAACTTAGTTTAACTTGTGAATATACACATTGTTAGGTGCCACAAAGGGGGCGAACCAAGTACATGCAGTGACGAGTTTATTGTCTGTGTTTGGCAGATTAATCATCAAAATGATAAGTGATTGACTAAAGAAATTGCAAACTTGTAAATATATTTGATAATACAGGTCGTGATTGTTAATGTATGATTTTTTCTTGTAAAAGGTTTGGCAAGTTGCTACGCCTGCAGTATGGCGGCACAGAATTGAAAGGTGCTGTCATCGACACCTACCTTCTGGAGAAGACTCGGGTTACTCATCAACCTCAGGGAGANTGAAAGGTGCCGTCATCGACACCTACCTTCTGGAGAAGACTCGGGTTACTCATCAGCCTCAGGGAGAACGCAACTTCCATATATTCCATCAGGTATAATTCATCTCATCAGGTACAATTCATTTCACCAGGTACAATTCATTTCACCAGGTACAACACATTTCATCAGGCACAATTCATTTCACCAGGTACAATTCATTTCATCAGGTACAATTCATTACATCAGGTACAATTCATTACGTCAGGTACAATTCATTACATCAGGTACAATTCATTACGTCAGGTACAATTCATTTCATCAGGTACAATTCATTTCATCAGGTACAATTCATTACGTCAGGTACAATTCATTACGTCAGGTACAATTCTTTACACCAGGTACAATTCATTTCATCGGGTACAATTCATTTCATCAGGTACAATTCATTTCATCAGGTACAATTCATTTCATCAGGTACAATTCTTTACACCAGGTACAATTTATAACTACAGTGTAATTTTCATGTAAAGATGTGACAGGCAATGTAAGAAATTCATTTGAATATTGAAGTTCGATGTGAATGGTCCTCTACATGCCTTAGTAATAGCTTATGTTTCAAATTTTCTTGATAAGCTTGAAAGTTAGCATAAATGATTGCATCTATAGTCGAAGCAGAAATTTTCTGTCTTCTCAAAAAATCTTCATTTGTTCTTTATTCACACTCACTATATATTAGCTGGAAAATGACTCCCTCTCATATACCTATAGATTTTTTTTATTTGCACTCAATGCAGCTCATTCAATCGTGTTCTTAACGTCATTTGGACTCACAATTTTTTCCAAATTTTTGAAAACGTCACTAAAAGTGACGTTTTCTAAAGGACACACAATTTTTTCCTAAATGTGATATTTTATAATAAGATTTTTTCAAAATCTGCAGGTTTTATCAGGACTGCAGCGCGGCCGGCTTGATGCCCTAGGGCAGATTGTGGAGACTGGTTCTGAGGAGACTGGTTCTATGGAGACTGGTTCTGAGGAGACTGGTTCTATGGAGACTGGTTCTGTGGAGACTGCTACTATGGAGACTGGTTCTGTGGAGACTGCTACTATGGAGACTGGTTCTGTGGAGACTGCTACTATGGAGACTGGTTCTGTGGAGACTGGTACTATGGAGACTGGTTCTGTGGAGACTGGTACTATGGAGACTGGTTCTGTGGAGGCGTGCTGCGTTGAGGGCTTCCCCATCTGCGGGGACTGGGGCGAGCGTGACGAGCGCGGCCTCAGAGACACGCTCGCTGCCATGCAGCTCCTCGAGTTCTCTGAGCATCAACCTGGACCCTGGCCTCTCAACCTGGACCCTGGTCTCTCAACCTGGACCTTGGCCTCTTAATCTTGACTCTGGTTGGCCTCTCAGTCAGGACCCTGGTCTCTCAACCTGTACTGCATCCTCTCAACCTGGACCCTGGCCCCTCAACCTGGACTCAGGCCTCTAAACCTGGACTCAGGCCTCTCAGCCTTAACGCTGGCCTCTCAACCTGGACACTGGCCTCTTTGCCTAGACATTGGCCTCACAACCATGGCCCTGGTGTCTTTGGCCCAACATCAAGGATGTTGGAAAAACACACATTTTCTTTGAAATTTCAATCTCAAATAAGGCATTTTTGCTAAAATACTAGAGTTTATTGGAAGTTTCTTGGCCAGACTTCTTAAGCCTATTGTTGCTAGCAAAAGTAATGTATAAAATGATAATTAACTATGCCAGCTACATAATATCATCCATATTTTGCGCTCAGAAGACTAAATGGATCATACCCTCGTGTTTAATGTTAGGATCTCGATCTTTTAAGACCAAGTGGACTGAAATGTTGCCTTACAATTTTTCAATATACAATTTTCAATGTTATACTCATCTATACACTACTTAGTGACTGGAATCACTGGAAATGATAAATTATAACAAAAAAAATTTTATGCGCTTAAAAAAATTTGGTCATTAAAGAGTTAACAATGTTTTCTCGTGACAAAAACTCCAATGTGACTGATAAATATCAATAGAGTTGACATCCTGCAATACAAAACAGTAACAAGTGGTTGTGTAATCAAATAATGTGTTTCTAGATTGATAATATTGAATATCAGGTTTGTACTTTTATTAAAAACCTTGTAACACTAGAATTACCTGTTGGTCCTGTCTTACCCCAGCCCCGGTCCCATCTTACCCCAGTGGGGTAAGATGGGACCAGCTCACTTTTTTTAATCTGTGCAGAAAACTGTGTTGTATGCAGAAAGTCTGAGTTGTAGCTTAGAAGCCCATTGCATAACTACACCTTGTGATAGGTTTAGGGTTTTTTATTTATTGATGGTATAGATGCTACATGCTTGTTAGTGATTTTGGTCCTGTCTTACCCCATCTGACTATATATTGCATTCTAACACCATTTATTGCATTTTAATGCACTCTATTGCACTCTAAAGCAATTTAATGTAACCCAAGGCAATCTAATGTATCCTAATGCAATCTAATGCATTCTAATGCAACCTAGTGCATTCTAATTCAATCTAATATAACCTAATACAATCTAATGCATTCAAAATCAAACTGACACTTACTACTGCAATATAAAGCATTCTAATGCAATCTTATGAAACCTAATGCAATGTAATGCAATGTAATGCAATCTAATGTAACCTAATGAAATCTAATGTACCCTAATTCAATTTAATGCATTCTAAAGCATTGCAATGAAATCTAGTGCAATCAAATAAAATCTCAATGCATTCTTACACATTCTAATTCAGTCTATTTAATTTTACTGAATTAGGTTGGCTTGAATTGGGCTGGAATGATTTGATTAGGGTTGAATTTGGTTGGGTGTGGTTGAATTGGGTTGAATCAAGTTGGAACAAGTTGGATTGGTTTTGTTTGAATTTGGTTTAATTGGATTGAGTTTTATTGAATTTTGGTTGAATTGAGTTAGGTGGGGTTGAATTTGGTTAGTTTGAATTGGGTTGAGTTAGTTTTGGTTGAATTGAATTGGGTTGGGCTGGGTTGGTTTTGCCATTTTGGTTGAATTGGGTTGGGAGTTGAACTGGTTTTGGTTAGATTGGGTTGAACTGGTTTTGGTTAGATTGGGTTGAGTATGGTTAGATTGGGTTAAATATGGTTAGGATGAATTGAGTTGGGTTGCATTGGGAAGGATTGGGTTGATTTGAATTGGGATCAATTGGTTTTGGTTGAATTGGGTTGGGTTTGGTTAGATTGGGTTGGGTAAATTTGGGTAGGATGAATTGGGCTGGGTTGCATTGGGAAGGGGTGGGTTGATTTGAATTGGGATCAATTGGGTTTGGTTGAATTGGTTATGATTGATTGTGACTCCTTCACCTATTTGTACTGAAAATTCTTCAAAAAAGTTTATGTTAAGCGTCACACTTTATACATAAAGCAGTGTCCCTGACACTCACACCTCGTCACCAAACTATTCATGCCACAATAAGCATATTGCAGTAATAAAGACAGGATAAAGTATTGATTAATCTTATATGATCTATTGATGGAATAGTTATGTCACCCCTCAATTGACTCCTAAAAATCAAATAAATGCCTTAATTTGCATTTAGTTTGGGATCCCCTTGTTGACACGTTGACTAGGTACTTGGTGATACATGTATGTAAAAACCAAGACATATGTTCTTTATAGACGCCATGATACAAGTATTTATATATATAAATATATATAGCACTGAAGAATGAAGATTGAATTATATAGCGATATTAAGAAAACTTACAGTAATTAATGAATTTTTTGATTAAGCCGGGTTAACATCTCGCATTAAATGATGTTATCCAATGATGGCAAGCATTACATTTAATGTTATTTAATGTAGTCCACTGTGTTTTGGGATTAAGTTATATTATTTGCCAGGTGCTGCTGGAGGAAGGGATCCTGCTGGACGAACGAAGCTTCAGGGACAACTCGGGCTGTGTTGAGGCGCTGCACTCACCTGTGTCTGTCTTCACTGTGCTTAATGAGGTGTGTGGTCTGTAGTGTGGTCTGTACCTTGATGAGGTGTGGTCTGTAGTGTGGTCTGTACCTCAATGAGGTGTGTGGTCTGTAGTGTGGTCTGTACCTTGATGAGGTGTGAGGTCTCCGCGCCTCATGGCGCGGAGAGAACTGAACCTGAAGTTCCCCAAAAATCATACCATGAAGTGCAGAAATTTTATTTTCCAAAACGTATGTTAACCTAAATAATTAGACATTAAAGATTCGTATTTCCCATCAATTTTTATCAATCTCGAATTTTAGCATTGAGGAAAATTCACGGAGTGACTGAAAGCTTAGGATAAGTTTCGTAGTGCATTAGCTAATGGCTGGTGTTGCAGGAGTGTCAGCTGCAGAAGGCTGTTGACGAAGTGGCTGCGTGTGAACGAGTCTGCCGAGCTCTACAGAACTCAGGTGAGTGTCTGTTACATATCACAGATGAGACTGAGGAACCTTCTGATGTCGAGTATCATGTTGTTAACCTTTAATTCCAAACGATTGCGTTTGATGCCAGACTCAACTGCAGAATTTATACATGGCTCATCAGCAGGATATACAGAGTTTACCTCCTAACTGTTAATGCCAAAACGCTCCTAACTGTTAATGCCAAAACGCTCCTAACTGTTATTGCCAAAACGCTCCTAACTGTTGATGCCAAAACGCTCCTAACTGTTGATGCCGAAATTACGATGGTTGCCGCCAGAGTTCGTTGAGAGCCCCAGCTCACGCCGGGGCCGCAAAGCAGGAGGTGGAGGTGGCGTGGTGTGTGAAGGCTTCGTATATCAATCTCGAATTTTAGCATTGAGGAAAATTCACGGAGTGACTGAAAGCTTAGGATAAGTTTCGTAGTGCATTAGCTAATGGCTGGTGTTGCAGGAGTGTCAGCTGCAGAAGTGTTAACTAATGTCTGGTTTTGCAGGAGTGTCAGCTGCAGAAGGCTGTTGACGAAGTGGCTGCGTGTGAACGAGTCTGCCGAGCTCTACAGAACTCGGGTGAGTGTCCGTTACATATCACAGATGAGACGAAGGAACCTTCTGATGTCGAGTATCGTGTTGTTAACCTTTAATTCCAAATGATTGCGTTTGATGCCAGACTCAACTGCTGAATTTATACTTGGCTCTTCAATAGGATATACAGAGTTTAGCTCCTAACTGTTATTGCCTAAAGCTCCCAACTGTTAATGTCAAAAGCTCCTAATTGTTGATAAAAATATTAATGTTGATGGTTGCCGCCAGAGTTCGTAGAGAGCCCCAGCTCGCGCCGGGGGCGCAAGGCAGGAGGTGGAGGTGGCGTGGTGTGTGAAGGCTTCGTGGTTCGTCACTACGCCGCCCCTGTGCTCTACTCCCCCCACGGGCTCCTTACTAAGAACAAGGACCTGGTGCCTGCCGAGGTCGTTTCCCTGCTGGGGCAGAGCTCGGAGGTCTTTGTGGCGTCCATCGTGGAGGGCCACGCTAGTGTGACCGACGCTGCTGGGGGCTCTGTACCACCAACCCTCAAGGTGGCCGCTGGCTGCCAACATTATCGTTTAGATTTATTTTTTGCGCATTTTCTCATTTATGGAAAAAATGCACTATTGTGCTCGCCATGTCCGTCCGTCTGTCTGTCCGTCCGTCTGTCTGTCCGTCCGTCTGTCCGTCTGTCTATCCGTCTGTCTGTCTGTCCGTGACTTCACGTTTTCGTCGACGAGAAAATGCGCTCTCACTCTAATGAGAACCGAGGTAGGTATATTTTTTTAAACCATTGCATCGTATTAATTGGAAATATCATTTAAGATAATAATTTCTCAACACACTATAGAGCCTTTATATAAGTGATGGTGTGCTGTGAGTAACCAAGAGTAAGCCGTAACTCTTCATCCAGGAGGGGAGGTGGGGGCATGTTATTAGTTGTAGTTTGTGGGTTATTATTATACTGAGTAAGTTATTAATTATATTTGTATACCCGGCAGGTTGGTGGCCGGTGGGGCAGCTCCCCCAGTCTCTCGAGCAGCTCAGAGGCCACCACGCCAGGGCCGCCCTACAACACGTCCTCCCTCAGGCGCCCCTCCAACCCTCACACCCCTTCCACCCCTCACACCCCTCAACAAACGTGAGAATAATCGCTGAATTTGTTGTGTTAAATCAACAGAAGTTTTAAATTGATATTTCTATCTCTATATAAACTGCAAGACTTGACTCGATACTTCAACCAACTATCGGCCTCACGTAAGTACCTCTAAGTATTAATTCCTCTATTCATACCCCTAAACATTCATTCCTCTGAATATTCATCCCTGTATACACTCATTCCTCTATTCATCCCTGTATACATACACTCATTCCTCTATTCATCCCTGTATACTACATTCCTTAACGCCCCCCTCCCCCAGCAGGGTGTCGCCCTCGACCGGGTCGCTGAGACGCGCCCCTCGGAAGGTCACGACGCTGTCCAAGTTCAGGAGCTCCCTGGACGCCCTCCTGCGCACGCTGGCCCTCTGCGACCTGCACTACGTCAGATGTGTCAAGCCCAACCAGCCCGCCCTACCAGGTGTGTCAAGCCCAACCAGCCCGCCCTACCAGGTGTGTCAAGCCCAACCAGCCCGCCCTACCAGGTGTGTCAAGCCCAACCAGCCCGCCCTACCAGGTGTGTCAAGCCCAACCAGCCCGCCCTACCAGGTGTGTCAAGCCCAACCAGCCCGCCCTACCAGGTGTGTCAAGCCCAACCAGCCCGCCCTACCAGGTGTGTCAAGCCCAACCAGCCCGCCCTACCAGGTGTGTCAAGCCCAACCAGCCCGCNATATAGAGCACAGCCACAGTAACTAGCGCTAGGGCACAAGATCGCTAGTGGAGCAACGGAGCGAGGTGAGTTCAGGCTAGAACCTCACTGTAGGGCTGGCGGGACACAACTCACTACCTGACGCACAGACGCTCAGACCTGACCTCGTACTACACCGGTCCGACTGCTATAGGCCTGACTCGCATGTCTCTAGCGCAGCTTCGCCAGACGTAATATAAATTTCGCCAGAATGAATAAAAAGGCATATGAGAACAAATGATAGCATCAATTAGTGAACGATCGATATTCATCGTTCACAAGGTGATAGTGCAGTGCAGGCTACCCCGTCAGGTGATAGTGCAGAGCAGGCTACCCCGTCAGGTGATGGTGCAGGCTACCCCGTCAGGTGATAGTGCAGGCTACCCCGTCAGGTGATAGTGCAGGCTACCCCGTCAGGTGATAGTGCAGGCTACCCCGTCAGGTTATACCAAGCATCATTCCAATCTTTTTAGTCAATTTCTCTCAATCGTAGTTAATATTTGGCTCTAATGCTCGAAACAATAGAAAAAAAAACTTCTCGAGATTAGTATTTAAAAATCCAATAAATTTTGATATATTTTAATCATTAGCAATATGGCTTGATATTATCGAAACAAGCTGCTAAAATAAATGCGGGTTGCCCGCTTGCTTGTCAGGATGTTGTTTGAGGACTTCTGGGGGCGGTACGGCCAGCCTGCCCCTCCTGCTGGGGGAGCTAACGCTGCTGGAGACGCCCCTGCTGCTAGGGGCGCTTCTGTTGCTGGGGGCGCTAACGCCCAACAGGTGCAGGCATTCCTGTTGCTGCATCTCCCGTCAACAGACGCTCAGTCACAGGATCAGAGCTACAGGTGTCCTTTCTTCTGTTATTTGTAGGACCAGAAGTGATCTATTTTTTTGCCTGCTGTATTTAGGAACAATGTTTATTCGTGCATGTCTTTTTTCTTGAAATAGAAGCCATTCCATGTATTTTTTTAGGCATTTCCCTTCGAATGATATAATGGAATAATTTAATCATTGATTAAAAAGAATACTGGATTATTGTTTTCTGGCCGTTGACTGCACCACAACCACACCACCACAACCACACCACCACCACCTCCACCACCCGACCCCCACCACCACCAACACCACACCACCACCACACCACCACCACCTCCACCACCCGACCCCCACCACCACCATGAGGTCATAACTCGCCCACCGCCGCCAGGGTGGGCAGGCGGCGGGTGTTCCTGTCGGAGCCTGGCTTTCGCCGCCTCGAGCAACTCAGGGAGAACAGGCGAGCCGCCGCCGCCTGCCTCATACAAGCGAGTTAGTATCCTCCTATTCTTCCTCCTATCCTTCCTCTTATCCTTCCTCCTGATCATTTGTTGACAAACTGACATGAACAAGTTAGTCTCTTATCCACAGCCTCGATAGGTATGTGCCTTGATCAATATACAACAAATTTTTACTAGTTCTTATTACCAAGTCTCAAACCAGCTACTTAATAACGCCGATTATCTTGTAGAATAATTGCTGTCTATGTTGCTGCATGCGTCATACAAGCTAGTAATATTCCTCTAATAATCCTGTTATTTGTTGATAAACATTCACGAACTGTGGGGCCCCTGTAGCGCAACAGTAACGCCCCTGTAGCGCAACTGTAGCGCGACAGTAGCGGTATCGATATGAAAGGAGCTGGCCGTGCGAGCCCAGAAGAGCTAAGTTCATTTCTCGGTGACGCTTGTGGACGGCGTATGGTCGCCGTCTAGAGTGGTGCATCAGCATAGTCTTCAATAATGACCTATAAAATATAATTTTTCGTGTACATCTTGTGATTATGATATCTACCGTCACTGACACATGAGTCGCCACTGAGCATGTACTACTTCACTGACCTCGCCGTACGTCATAAATACCATATAATACCGTCAGAACTGTGACTTGTAGGGTTCGATACTCACATGATGACTACCAAGCTGTTGTGACCGCGCTAGAAAGATGGGGTTCAGTTTTGTTTATAAAATATTTCGGCCGACGATGACTTAACCCTCTAACGCCGGTGTCACTCTCCGGGAACGTAACTTTCAACTTAAATTATAGGTAAACTATTAAGTGTAGCTACTGTAGCAACTTGATGACGTTTGTACGCAACAGAGAACATTTTAAAGTTGTCGTACGTGGCGGCAACCATCAGTGCAAGTCATTTTGCGCTCACTAGAACATATCCTTTTTGGGAAGTAGCTTGTTACAATAGTCAATATTGCTCCGGTTTCTCATGTCAGGCGGTAGATGGTTAAGAGCTGTGACGACGTTATCAGCATTGACGATTGTTGGTCTGCTATCTGTCTTAATATAATTGTATTGAATAAGATGTAAATGTATTTTTGGTTGTTACTTTACTTCTTGCTTGCATTACAGACTGGAAGATGGTGCGCTGTGTACGCGCGTACCAGCGCGTGCGAAAAATAAACTGTTTCGCCGTTTTTATCAGATGTTTTACGGACTTCTAGTGTTAAAATATAATAAAAACGGCGACACGGTGTTTCTTTTCACGTGCCGACCGGCCATTGAAACGCCGGTTATACCGTTAACGGTAATTTTTCTAACAGTGCAGCATGTACTACTTCACTGCCCTCGCCGTACGTCATAAATACCGTATAATATCAGCCAGAACTGTGACTTGTAGGGTTCGATACTCACATGATGACTACGAAGCTGTTGCGATTGCGCTAGAAAGATGGGGTTCAGTTTTGTTTACAAAATATTTCGGCCAACGATGACTTAACCCTCTACCGCCGTATGTCACTCTCCGGAACATAACTTTCAACTTAAATTATAGGTAAACTATTAAGTGTAGCTACTGTAGCAACTTGATGACGTTTGTACGCAACAGAGAACATTTTAAAGTTGTCGTACGTGGCGGCAACCATCAGTGCAAGTCATTTTGCGCTCACTAGAACATATCCTTTTTGGGAAGTAGCTTGTTACAATAGTCAATATTGCTCCGGTTTCTCATGTCAGGCGGTAGATGGTTAAGAGCTGTGACGACGTTATCAGCATTGACGATTGTTGGTCTGCTATCTGTCTTAATATAATTGTATTGAATAAGATGTAAATGTATTTTTGGTTGTTACTTTACTTCTTGCTTGCATTACAGACTGGAAGATGGTGCGCTGTGTACGCGCGTACCAGCGCGTGCGACATGCGGCCCAAACCATCACGCGTCACGTGGTCGCGTGGCTCACGCGCCGGCGTTTCCAGCGCCAGCGCAGGGCGGCGGTAACGTTACAGAGCCACGAGAGGATGAGACAAGCAAGGCTCAAGTACAAGGAAACCTTGAGACGCGTTATCTTGCTTCAGAGTCTCGCGAGACGCTGGATTGCAACCAAGAAACTAAATGCCATACGTGCGTCGCGGGTTTGTATGTCCAACAGCATTCAGTCTCTTGCGAGTTTTGGCTATCAGACAGCGCCCCAGTCACAATACAGCATCCTGTCTCCCGAGTCCCTGCAACACTCGAGTATTTTCAACTCGGCCTCATTATCTATGTCTAGTTTCGACCCTGTAACTTCACGTGGACTTCCCTCACCGTCTCGTGTACGATCTCCTGAAGGTGCGAGGTCTTTTTCTGTGTCGCCAGCGTCAGGTGTAGCACGGCCAGGCAGGCGCTCCATCATGGAAACGGAGGAATCTGGTATAGAAACTGACACCGAGAGCCTTAGTGGCCAGAAGGAACTCACTGACAACGATGAGCAAACGCGCGTTCGAAGGAAACGGGCTCGGCTGCACAGTCTTACTTCACAAAACTTGTTCTCGCAAGATAAACCTACATTGGATTCACCAATGTCATTACCAAAAGATGAATTCTCTAAAGAACGAAGCCCTAACTCAAGAAATGACAAGACAGCAGCTGGTAATACAGCGGCAGATATTGATGACAATTGTGTTCGTAGGACCTCAATTACGAGACAACCATCACTGCCTGCAGAACTGGAATCTGACGACGTTGCTCCGTACGTCACGACGAGGAGAAGGAAGCGTAAGTCTACACCGTCTCTCGTCAACGCAAATTTAGTGAAGATATTCCACGCCGATCAGATGATGCCCGTCTTGTCGCGCTTCTCGTCCAATACTCGCATGCAGTTTGTGGTGGTGCGCGACCAACGAGATTTCTTCTTCAGAGACGGCATCTTATCATGCCGCAGAATTCCTAGCGTAAGCACCATTGTAAATCATTTCTTCTCACCCTCATACTTGCCATTTTTCATCACCCTCATACGTGCATGTTATTTTCTGATATAACCAAACTTGTGGTATGAAATAATAGCGCGTGGATTAGTGTTGCTATTGGTTGCTCTAGAGTTAGTGAGGCCTAGACATGGTGAGGCCCAGACATTGTGAGGCCCAGACATTGTGAGGCCCAGAACTAGCGCCCTCCAGCCCCAGGGTCTGCTCCTAGCGCCCTCCAGCCCCAGGGTCGGCTCTTCTAGCGCCCTCCAGCTCCAGTGCCTGCTCCTGTAGCGCCCTCCAGCTTCCCGTTAATTATGCAGATGATCTATCATGATTGTGTTCATTCTTCCACAAGTCGTTCAACATAGAAAATGATTATCTTCTTTTTAGAAAGTCTTTTAATTTGCTTCGCTGCTCCTGATTTATTTATAAAGATGTGTTCATATTTTCTTTTTGTTGTATATTCAGTACAAGTCAATCTCACCTGATATCAAAATAACATTCGGTTGAATTCTTACAAAGTCAGCTGGGATTGTCCACTTCTGACTGCCACGACTAGTCGCACGTAGTCTCATTTTAGGCTGGGTTGCTCAGTCCCGGTACGATCGCCGACTGCTGCTAGTACATACGCTAGTCACTAGTCTGGCTCTAAGCCACTGCTCAATATCACTAGTGGCAGCTCATTGCGGCGAGTTACAATTGGCGCAGAAATATCGAAAGTGAGATGAAAGAAAGTCGGTGTTCATTTTTGTTGTGTTCATGCCGTTCTGTAGTGTACCGAAGTCTTCAACTGTCCTGTTTGTCCCGTGTTATTTCTGTTATTCACGCGTTTCTTGCGTATGATACTCCCCTTTTGTTCTGTATTACACTCCTGTTTGTTCCGTTTTATCCATGTTATACTCGTATTTAAAGTAATTTTCTGTCACTTACGCAACACTAGCACAGTAATACAAGAGCTCTGTTGCAACAAAATGTTCTCAGGAGAGACAAACGCTTCTCAGATATCCTCATATTTATCCTCTAGTATCGCAACAGTCATGCCTGCTTATTATTGTAGGAGATATCTTGACGCTGTGCTTTGTGCTTCCATTCCTATATTAGTGCCGATATTACTTGGTGATTGATGTACACGAGTAATTATTGTTCGAGGGAAGGTAATTTTTGCACAAGGGAAGGTGATTATTGTACGACGAAATGTAAGTATCGTACGAGGAGAGGTATTTATTGCACGGCGGAAGGTAAGTATCGTACGAGGAAAGGTAGTTTTTTGTTCGTGGGAAGTTCATACAACATGAAGTTTACCTTCATGTTGTATGAAGGTAATACCTTCATTACATTTATGGATAACGTGGTATTTGTCCATATCATATTCTATGTCTCATCCTACATGTGATGTAATGTAATGCCTTAACACTTGGCCGTAGCGCTGTACTCCTTTCTCTTGATCGTAACCGTGTAATACCGTATTATTTATTATTTACGCTCGCTACATCTGCTTCCTTTATAAACGCAGAGACTTGAGCTTGAGAATTCCTTAAATTGTATACAAAATCAATAGTTTACACATTCTCCAATGTTGTAAACGAACTCCTCCGAGTTTGCCACTTGAATAGTTCAGTTACATTCCTGGTGTACCAAAGGCCGATGTGTGCCACGTTTTTACATGCCACAGTTTCATTCCAGGCATTTCATGAGAGGTATGAAAACCATTTTAAAAAATGCCAGGTATAATTTAGTACAGCAAATTTATTTAGTACAGCAAATACCAAATTATCCAGCGATTACTATGCCTAATGTTAGCGAATTATGATTCGCAGCCGCGAAGTATAACTTGTTGCAGCGAATTATGATACGCTATTTCTGAATCGTGTCTTGCTTAATCCTTATTGGTCGGACTGTTTGGTCACGAAGACTCCATGAGTGTCTAGAGTTTTTACTGTTTCAATGCGAGACTTCTGTTTCAATGCGAGACTTCTGTTTCAATGCGAGACTTCTGTTTCAATGCGAGAGTTTTCTTGCTATGAAAGACTTCTGTTTAAATGCGAGACTCCTGTTCAAATGCGAGACNATGCGAGACTTCCGTTTCAATACGAGACTTCTGTTTCAACGCGAGACTTCCGTTTCAATGCGAGACTTCCGTTTCCATGCGAGACTCGTACTTTTATGCAAGTCTCCTGTTTCTATGTTAGAATTCTGTTTCAATGCGAGACTCCTGTTTGAATGCAAGTTTTCTGCTTCAACTCGAGACTTTGTTTCAACACGTAACTTCTGTTTAAACGCGAAACTTCTGTTTCTATGCGAGACTTCTGTTTTATCTGTTTTAATGCGAGACTTCTGTTTCAACAAAAGACTTCTGTTTCTATGAAAGACTTCAGTTTCTATTGTGTTGCAGTTCTTAAGTATTCATTAGTTTGAAGTGGTGAGTGGTGCTCAGCGCAAACGTGCGTCATTCTGGTTCTGTTTTTGGTTCATTTGAAGGGTTGAATTTAAGTATTAATGTACAATATTATTAACTCGTCTCAAGTACTTATATTAGAAACTGGTGGTTGTGCATTTGCGGTTCGCTCAAGAAGTGGGAGATAAAGGTTGATATTTAATCAATGATTTAATTTTTTTGCCGTTTCTTGTTAAGATTCAAAAGTAGTTTGCATGTCGCCTTCATACTTGATGATTTCCTTATGCATTTAATTATCTTACTTGTATCCCCCATTATATCGCTAATTTATCTTAGCTCCGGTGATTAACCTGAGGCTAAGATATCACCCTTGCTTTATCTTGTTCATTGCGGGTTATGGTCAAGTTGGCTGCAAGTTTATAAGTTTAACTAGAATATTAGTTTAGGTTTCAGGTGAGGGCTGCAGATACCGCCCATGCTTTGTCTCGTTTGTTCTTAAGGTTTATTTCGGATATTATTAAGTAGACCTCATGTTCATTAATTTAGTAAGAATATTTGTCCACTTTGTTGTATGCTCGTATAAGTTAAATAATTACATCATGTGTGACAATGCACCTAATGCATGTCACGCACAGCATGCGTGTGGTCCGTGCGCATGAATCACCTAATGCTCACATATAATACTTATTTGGTTTTATATTTTCCTTCAAAGTCTGTTCGATATTACAAGGTATCTGTGAAGATATCTTCGCTACATGACACACATGTTGAAACATGCAGTGCTTTGAGACGAGATTTTCTCACTGACTAAAATTACGATAAATATTTTCATCTGAGTATCAGTATCTTCCTTCTCAGTATCCTTGCGCGGCGAACCGCGCAAGGAATGTTTGGGAGAACCGAGTTGTAGGGATGGTTCCTGTAATTTTTTGGTTCGTGCCGTCGTTTCTTACTGTTCGTTGCCGTCATCTTTTATGGTTCGTGATTAGCTTGTGCCAAATTGTACACTCAAGCAGAACATAATTTTACCTATGCATTACAAAATATGATTGATATTGCCCTCTTGGTCTAAATGAAGAATTTGTATCAAAAAGGCACTTTGTACACGAGTCTAGTAGTAGCGGCCAGTAAAACATTCACACTAAGTATTCATTCATACTACATTCATACTAAGTAGTGGCGGTCAGTTGAAAGTTGTACTGGCCGCCACTAGTGGCCTCGTGTACAGGGATCTTGCATGAATATATCTTGGCTCGGTGATATACATAAATGTGATTATTAATAGATGTATAGATATGATTATAATATTACCTCGTACAATTAATGTATGTCAATTGTTTTGTTGTATGGTGCAGGGTTTAAAGGACTTCCAAATATCCAGGTGCCTTACTACTTTGATTAGAAAATGTTCATAATGAAGGTTTGACCTTAGTAAGTCAAATTACTTTGATTTTGCTCGTTCTTTTATTGCAATTTTATTGAATAATAGGAATGATCAACTGGATACTAATAATAATATTAGTGATTATCGAGTATTAATATTAATACGTGAATGATCAATTAGGTAATAATATCAATAATTGACCACTAGTCTCAAAAACTAGCTTACTATTCGCTGTACTATTTAGATATAGATGTTAGATAAGTCACGCTGCACTCTTAAAAATAAATGCGTTATATTGTCTATAAAGTGGCACAAGATAAGTCATGCTACACTCTTTAAAATGAATGGGTTATATTGTCTATATAGTGACACACTCGCAGCACGTAGCAAGAACCCGCCCTTTCGTTTGGACAGACTGGGCCCAGGATGACTCACACAGGTTGAAAAATACGTCACTCTATGGACAATATTCCAGTTATTTTTCTGAGCGAATGGTGCTCAAGGCTGACCTCTTATATATCAAGTTGTACGGTATTTTTTTCTCGATTTTGAATAGTTTCCTAGGGAACCCTCATTTTTTTTCTTACATAATCTAGTGTCGGTCATATATATATATACCGACATTACATATATATATATATATTTGTGTATATATATATTTACTTGGAGTCGCGGAAAAATTGTAAAAATTATTAGTAGAAAAACAGAAAAATGTATCTTTCTCTCAAGTGGTAGGCGGAGCCCAGTGGTTAAAGTTCAGGGTACCAAGACTGGAGCAGAGAGGCGCGGGTTCGATCCCAGCTCTGTGCGCCATGCATGCAGTTTCTGGTCAGAATCGGCAAGGAGGCCGGGCGGTTAAGCGCAGCAGAATTGGAGCAGTGAGTTGCGAGTTCGAGACCGCAAAATGCTGTGAATGTTCTGCGATTTCAAGAATCGGCGACAGGCCTACGGCCTAATAACGCTGAAATCGCTTTTATTATTTTTATAATAAAAAATTCACATCTTATTCATACTTATCAATATTAATTAAGTTTCTTATACACCTTTCCGTACTAGCTTTTGTAACAAGCCTCCACAATTGTGATTTTTCTGTCAAGTTTCATATTTCCTTCACCGACTTACATTTTTTCACCCATTCCTCTCATCATTTCGTAATATTTATTGCAAGGACTTACATTTTTCACCCATTCTTCCCATCATTTCGTAATATCTATTGCACGCAGACATTTCTATTTAGTGTTATTGATATAATGGGCAACTGGCAGCTCGAGGTAGCACGCATGGCCATCTACATGACGTTCCCCGTGGCCGCTTTCTACATCTTCAACCAACCGCAGTGGTTCGAGCAAGAGACCATCGAGAAGAAGAGGCAGATCTTCAGGCCTACGAGCAGGGAGAATGCTGAGGTATGGGGGCGTGGTCCACGAGAACATTTTCAACACTCAATTTTATTTAGGTGACGGAAAAAATTTAGGTGACGGAAAACTCATTAATGTACAATAAATGAGTTGAGAACCGTGGCAGATTATCAGGCCTACGAGCAGGGAGAATGCTGAGGTATGGGGGCGTGGTCCACGAGAACATTTTCAACACTCAATTTTTTTAGGTAAAGAAAAAATTACACCCTATGAGTTAAGAACGGTGACACATCCTCTGGTCTACGAGCAGGGAGAATGCTGAGGTATGGAGGTATGGTGGCGGGCCGAAGGGAATTAATATTCTGTGCACTCATTTCTTTAGAGGTATGGTGGCGTGGCCCAACAGAATATTCTATACTCAATTTTTTAAACACGACGTAAAATTTTATTTATATGACGTAAATAAAAATTATCGTGCGTGGACCAACAAAATATTTTATAAACAATTTTTTTCGACGATGCAAATAAAAATTATCGTGATGTGTGTGATTGATTTTCATTTAATGTCATGTATTTTATTGTAGGTTGATTCGTTATTTAACTAAAAGTATCAAGTTCAGTTCGACAAAAATGACGATTTTCCGGTCAATTTCTTCAAGTTAGCACTTCTAGTCTTGCACGTTTCTTATTTAAATGGAGTTTATGCAGTCGTTTCATCACAACTGGAGATAATATTCTGGAACACTATTAATTTCAAAGCGTTTCTCTGACGCGGAAGCCTGCGCACTCGAAAGAATTGTTGGTACTATTTCCCAAATAGTGACACAATTTATGCACCTATAGTACCGAGTCACAAACTGATTCAGGGGGCCATATTTTCAAAACTCGCTAAGTGAACGTAAGTACTTACGCTCTATTTTCTTGTCTATGATTGGTGGATTTTGCTTGAGAGGCCGTCAATGATTGGCTGATGAACTTACGATCTCTTAACTTTTTTTGAAAGTATGGGCCAGGATGACTCACTCAAGGGCGACAAAAGCATCACTATTTAGCCAAAATCTGACTTATTTCTCTGAGTGCTGCATTCACTTACGTTCTCTGTGCAGATGCTCGCCGGCTGCATCAAGACCTTGCAGGAGAAGGAAGAGAGAGAGCTTCTCGAATCCCTCAGTAACAACTCGTCTAATTAAGTATAGTTTTATCGGCAACAATCTTGTTATTATTGTATAAATATTTCTTGAAGTGAATCGTTTCGTGAAATACCGAGTAGCTTTCAAGGTTGTATTGTATAATTGTGTAAGAATTGTATAGAGAAGAGCGGGTTGCTTGTAGGTCCAAGTTGAAGTTTGAAGCAGTGTTTGAGCCGAGCCGGTGCCGGGCAGGGCAGGTTATGAGCAGGTGAGGGGCAGGCTTGTCCTTTTTTGATGCCTGATTGAATGTACAATAACTGAAATACGTGCTGCTAATCGACCGCTCTAGGCGCTGTCAGTTCAAATTCTGCTTTAAACCTCAAGGGCCATACTTTCAAAATTCGCTAAGTGAACGTAAGTACTGACGCTTTATTTTCTTGTCTGTGATTGGTGGATTTTGCTTGAAAGGCCGTCAATGATTGGCTGATGAACTTACGATCTTTTAACTTTTTTTGAAAGTATGGGCCCAGGTATGTATGCGGCTGGCATGGCTGTCCTGCTTTAAACCTGCTATAAACCTGCTCCGTTGCTGCAATCTGTGCAGACTCTTGCTCTGAATGTTAACTTGGATCTATCAATTAATAAGTTTTCGCTTTACTTCACAGTGAAGCTATCATGTAGAGCAGCATCTCACCTTTGTTTTGATTGCTATTGTTTACCTATTTTGGTAGCTGCAGGAAAAAGATTCAATGTTTTCAGTTTGAAAGAATGTTTCCTTTTTGGTGCCCTCAAGCAAACTTCAATGAAGTATTTTCTTATTTTATTTTGGGATGTTATTCATTTCTTTAATCTAGGAAATAATTTGTGACTATGAACTGAATTTATATGAAATATTAATTTGTTTTGATAGCCCTGTCTGGACGATCAAACATGACTCACTATAAGAGGAGCCGATGTGAGTCACTATAATAATATGTACACATGACGAATAATTGTGAAGGGATGCTTGGGTGAAGTGAAAAAATTTTATTCGATCTCAAAATATTTATACGGACCTATTTTAGGAAAGTACTTGAATCGATGGTTAAAATAAAGACGAAAATTTTCTGACATTTACTTTCGATATCAGAAACCACAGTTTAAAAAAAGCACAATTTTCTCTCACGCGCGCTGAGAAAAACCTTTCGATCTAATACTGTAGTGCTATTTTCTTTTAAAATTACATAAATAAATTAAAAAATTAATGATTCAAATTCTATTCTACAATTGTTAATAATGTATACATTGTAAAAAATTATGTATACATCTCGATGCAACCATGCGTACTGAGAGAGGGTATTTCCAATCTACCCTAATGTAACTTACTGAAGTCTATTGTATATTTATATTGACTAGATCATCTTAAAAATACCGCTTCAAACTCTGTACAAAACACAACCAAGTAAAAGACCGGGGGCAGCCATATGCATTGTAACCCTTGGGGGTGGTTGGGCGATGTCTAATGGAATGTTGAAACAACGGCAGACGATGTACGTCGACCAGAAATAACAAAATATCAAGTAATTAATTAAAATAGGAAACAAGATTATAAATAATTCAATGCAGCTATGCATATATTGCAACAAAAGAAGCCTTGTGTATCGGCACCATTAATATAGTAACGAGGCGAAGGCAGCGCGTTATTACAAAACATGCGCTCGGGACTATGTACATTGTACAGAAATCTTACTAGTACACGAGATCAGATGGTATGGAGTACTAACAGTATAATGGTCAACGAGTGACGTACCGTACGTAACTTATTTACACTGGTCATTATTTGTGACGCAATTTTAAATATTCATGAACTGCAAAACTTAACTCAAATTTTATTAAAAACTTGACTCAAGTTTTACTAGTAGAAATTGGAAGGAAGAAAGGCATAAATCCGACATGGAGGAAACTCGCTATTCCTTCTCTCTTCCACCCATTCTCTCTGCAATCCAGGGTGGTTGAAGAAATTCAAGCAAGAGGTTGAGCGATTGCAAATTTGAATTTTACACACATAGCGGAGGGAAAATTCAAGGAGCTTCAGGTTAGATTGCAAGTAACTGAAACTGTTTGCAGAAACTAATGCAAGTAGATTATATTAAAAATCTGCGCGAACTCTTTTTTGGTGGCTTTAGGGATATAGTTCTCATTGATATCTGTGTAATATTCACGCCATTTGTATCCATGGCCTTCAATATTGCCTCCTCATGCTAGACAAGGTGCATGTTGGTAACAATCAAAGTTTTAACGATACCAATATTAATAGATATAAAATGCTGTTTAATATTATTTATGTTCTTCACGTAATTGACTTAAGTTTACGATATTTTTCCTCAAATAAGCTGCCAGTACAAAAATCGATGCTTCGCAATTCCCTCAAATTTGAATATTTTTGCCAATCGCGAATAGCGACCGTGACAGATGGTTAAGTCATTGGCAACAGAGCGGCGACCANAGCTGCCAGTACAAAAATCGATGCTTCGCAATTCCCTCAAATTTGAATATTTTTGCCAATCGCGAATAGCGACCGTGACAGATGGTTAAGTCAGTGGCAACAGAGCGGCGACCATGACAGATGGTTAAGTCAGTGGCAACAGAGCGGCGGCCACTGACACAGCAACCATCGCCAGCAGTGGTCCCAGAGATTCAGTGGCAGATGTGGGCCACGTGCAGGGCCACTGTGTGCAGTTCCTGAGTGTGGAGGCCGCAGTCTGCGGGTCCTGGGACCACAGCTCCGACTGTGCAGCAGACGCAGAGTCCCTGAAGAAGGTCTCCCCCGTAGCGACCAAGTCGAACACACACGCGTCCAGGAAGCTGTCCGTGATGTTGTGCTGTGCGCACAGCTCTTGTGCCTGACACAATAGAATAATATTATAGTTTAGTATTATCAAATTTATATCAATAAATAATAGGTAATTAATTATAATGTTATTGTTTAGTATCATCTAATTTATATCAATAAATAATGTAATTAATTCTAATATTATAGTTTAGTATCATCTAATTTATATCAATAAATAATCAACCTTATCAACCTTAGCCTGGGGCATGACTCACCCTGGCCTGGGGCATGACTCACCTTAGCCTGGGGCATGACTCACCATTATAATATTATAGTTTAGTATCATCTAATTTATATCAATAAATAATTTAATTAATTCTAATGTTATAGTTTAGTATCATCTAATTTATAATAATAATTAATGTAATTAATTCTAATGATAAGATATTGTAAATTGTAGTAAATAAAATATTATACAAGTAGTTTGGTATCATCTAATTAATATCAATAAATAATATAATTAATTCTAATTAATTAATAATTAATTGTAATATAATAGTTTAGTATCACATTTCGTATAGTTTAGTATCATATCAATAATATTTAGTTTAGTATGCTGCAACAGTTAAGTACAGTATAGTTAAGTACCTATAGTGTCTTTGTTGAAGATTAGGGGCAAGTCTGGCCTGATGCCGATTGTAGGGCATAATTGATTTTTTACAGCCAGGCGAGATTCGAACGCGCAAGTCATAGCCTCTATATTGGCGATTTTCACGGCCATTCCAGCGACAGTGTGAATTAATTAAACTAAATTTACTAAATCAGTCGCGTCAATAAAAGAGTCTAAGAAGTGGAAGAACGACAATACTGAAATCCTTGGCTCTAGCAGCAATTGGTTTTGTTACGTATCATCCTATTTCCTAGCGATTTATTGCTAATCCTATAATTCTGCAGCCTTATTTAGTCCATCGTATGATTCTATTTCCACTGTTCAACGAGAACAATCTGTCGAGATATGCAATCTTCTACGTTTAATTTTAAATATACTCATTAAAAACGACCGGCGAACAAATTTTGTCTTTGAAGAGGAGAATCTGAGGCATGACTCACCCTCGTTTGGGGCATGACTCACCCTGGCCTGGGGCATGACTCACCCTGGCCTGGGGCATGACTCACCCTGGCCTGGGGCATGACTCACCCTGGCCTAGGGCATGACTCACCCTGGCCTAGGGCATGACTCACTTTAGCCTGAGGCATGACTCACCCTGGCCTGGGGCATGACTCACCCTGGCCTGGGGCNGCCGTCATCTTTTATGGTTCGTGATTAGCTTGTGCCAAATTGTACACTCAAGCAGAACACTCATAAAAAATTGTACACTCATAATTTTACCTATGCATTACAAAATATGATTAATATTGCCCTCTTGGTCTAAATGAAGAATTTGTATCAAAATGCTCTTGTACACGAGGCTAGTAGTAGCGCCAGTAAAACATTCATACTAACTATTCATTTATATTACAAATACATTCATACTAATTATTCATTTATATTACATTCATACTAAGTATTCATTTATATTACATTCATACTAAGTATTCATTTATATTACATTCATACTAAGTATTCATTTATATAACATTCATACTAAGTATTCATTCATATTACATTCATACTAAGTATTCATTTATATAACATTCATACTAAGTATTCATTCATACTACATTCATACTAAGTAGTGGCGGTCAGTTGAAGGTTGTACTGGCCGCCACTAGTGGCCTCGTGTACAGGGATCTTACATGAATATATCTTGGCTCGGTGATAGGTATACATAAATGTTGTTATTATTAGATAAATGTGATTACTAGTAAGTGCATAGATATGATTCGGTGATATACCTACATAAATATGATTATTAATAAGTGTATAGACATGATTATCGTATAACCTCGTACAATTAGTGTACTTTAATTGTTTTGTTGTATGATGCAGGGTTATAAAGACTTCCAAATATCCAGGTGCCTTACTACTTTGATTAGAAGATGTTCATAATGAAGGTTTGACCTTAGTAAGTCAAATTACTTTGATTTTACTTGTTCTTTTATTGCAATTTTATTGAGAAATAGGAATTATCGATTGGATACTAGTAATAATATTAGTGATTATTGAGTATTAATACTTAAATGATCAATTAGATACTAATATTAATAATTGACCACTAGTCTCAAAAACTAGCTTACTATTCGCTGTACTATTTAGATTTAAGATAAGTCATGCTGCACTCTTAAAAATAAATGGGGTATATTGTCTATATAATGACACAAGATATGTCATGCTACATTCTTAAAAATGAATGGGGTATATTGTCTATATAGTGACACACTCTCTGCACGTAGCAAGAACCCACACAGGTTGAAAAATACGTCACTACATGGACAATATTCCACTTATTTTTATGAGCGAATGGTGCTCAAGGCAGACCTCTTATATATCAATTCGTATTTTTTTCTTGATTGTGAATAGTCTCCTAGGGAACCCTCATTTTTTTCTTACATAGTCTAGTGTCGGTCATATATATATACCGACATTACATACCTATATATTTGTGTGTATATATATATTTACTTGGAGTCGCGGAAAATTGTAAAAATTATTAGTAGAAAAACAGAAAAATGTATCTTTCTCTCGAGTGTTAGGCGGTAGTGCAAGAGATGTTGATGAATGTGACTTATGAGTCATCAATTCAGCTTACTCATCACCGGGATCATTGATATTCAATATTTAATTCACCATTAACCATTATTGCAAATTAGAAGTGTAACTCATTAACCCATTAATGCCGAGAATTATTTTCTGAAATCTTTTCTGGTTTCCTGTGAGAAAATTATCACTTGCGACGGTAATAAATAAAAATATGTTCAAATATTTATTTTTCTTTGTATGTGAAAAATTATAACTTGGTCCCATTTTGAACCAGGCTAAATGTTTCATAATCTAAATGCCTTTAGAAACATTATATTACGTAATACTATATACAGCATTAAAAGTACTAACTTTATCGAAAAAATTCTGAATCTGAATCATAAATAATATATTTTATAACTAATTACTCACCTTTCTTTGCTATGATATCAAGCCGTTGTATCTGATACCTGGTTATCTTTGTATGTTAACTGAACTGATTTAATGTTAACTTTAATTAATGTTAACTGTAATGTTAACTATATCTAATCTACTTACCCACTTGTATATTTATTTAATCATAAAATTTAATTGTGAATCCATTTTTCTCCGCTGGTTCCAAATGTTTAAGTTGCTCGGCATTAATGGGTTAACTGATTTACTGCAGATATTTTATTATGATGACGATTTAATGCTGATATTCTTTTAGATATTTTTGTGTGTGGTGACGGGTTCCTGGGATCCCTTGTATAATCTCCGTATGATTGCCATGAATATATTCAGCTGTATTATCTTCATATTCAGCTGTATTATCTCCATATGAACGCCATGAATATATTCAGCTGAGTTGCGGGAGGTCTTTTGATATCCAACTTCTTCGCGCACACTGAGAGAAATGAGTGACACTTTGTCCAAATATGACAAAGCCGGCCGCACTTTTCACCCGGCGTGGGTCATCCTGACCCACTTTCGCCCTGCTGAAGGACGTAGCAAGGATACGTGAAGGAAGTGAGTCAGCATTAGGACAATTTGATCCATTCATTTCCCATCACCTTTTCTCTTGTTGGGAGAGGTTAATGAATACTGAATGAATGATAATGAGCACTGGGTGAATGATAATGAATACTGAATGAATGATAATAGTGAAAGAATGATGATGAATACTAAATGAATGATAATGAGCATTGAACGAATGATAATCGATACAATATGAATGATAATACTGAATGAATGATAATGAATACGGAATGAATAATAATGAATGATGAAGCCCGCAGGGATGATGGTGTGGGGAAGCTTGACGCTCCCCCGGGCCAACCCGAGTCTCGGACCCAGCGACACTCAAAGAAATGACCATGAGGGACACTTTGTCCAAATAATGATGCAATTACTTCCCTTGTCTATGTCATCTTGACCTAGTTTGGCCCGGCCAGAGGACGTATCAGTGCTACGCTCTTTGTTCGGGCTGTGGGTGAGAAAATGTGTCAGGATTTAAAGAAAAAAAATTCGTTCGTTTTTATGATTGTACTCATCCGTTATTGTACTTGAATACGGCGTGAAGTAGGCATGAAGTACTAGAGAAGTACTTGTACTCATTACGGCGTGAAGTACTTGTACTCATTGCATGCGAAGTATTTACATCCAAAGTACACCAACGGAAGCAAGGAAGCTGTTGTGTTCTTTCTGGAAAATTGGGACTCGTAAGACTTCAACTCTGAAGGAATTCAACTTAACAGGGTGGCCCAGTGGTTACAGTTCAGAGTACCAGGATTGGCGCAGAGAGGCGCGGGTTCGATCCCAGCTCTGTGCGCCAGTTTCTGGTCAGAATCGGCAAGGAGGCCGGGCGGTAAAGGACAGCAGAATTGTAGCAGATGGCAAAAATTGTTGGAGATGGCAAAATGCTGTGAAATGTTCTGCGATGTTAAGAATCGGCGACAGGCCTACGGCCTAATAAACGCTGAAACCGCTATTATTATTATTATTATTATAATCAAAAATTCACATCTTATTCATACTCATCAATATTAATTAAGTTTCTTATACACCTTTCCGGCCGAGCTTTTGTAACAAGCCTCCACAATTGTGATTTTTCTGTCAAGTTTGATATTTCCTGCATCGACTTACAGTTTTTCACCCATTCCTTCCCTGATTTTGTAATATTACGTCATCGACTTACATTTTTCACCCATTCCTCTCATCATTTCGTAATATCTATTGCACGAACAGACATTTCTATTTAGTGTTACTGATATAATGGGCAACTGGCAGCTTGAGGTAGCACGCATGGCCATCTACATGACATTCCCCGTGGCCGCTTTCTACATCTTCAACCAACCGCAGTGGTTCGAGCAAGAGACCATCGAGAAAAGTTATAGTATACTTGTTTACTTTTAGTATACTTGTATACTGATTGACAGCAATAGTTTAAATTCGTACCGAAAGTTATGGTGACGAGTTGCCATTGTTAGAGGAAAAGACCCTACAAACTCTGTATCTTCGAACACATCAACCGTCCTCAGGGCTATTCGTTCCTTTAAGGCCCTGGTGCCTATGAGTTGCAGTTTGTTCACAGATGATACAAGTAATAATTGAAGTGACGCAGCATGTCTCCATAACAAGAGAATAAATGATGAATATATGAAGCGCATGTCTGACATCAGCGCGCGTGTCCCGATTATGGACAGCATCGGTGAAAATTAATGCTTGTAAAAAGTTATTAAAGGCCATAACCTTTAACAAACAAATGAAAAATTTTTTAAATGATGAAGTGTTGGTCAAAGTCATGAAAACCAGCCTCAGGTGGGAAATTTGAAATGATGATTATGATGAAATTGTAGCGTCAGCTGTACCATATGCAGCACTCAGGCAAATGTATGTCATAATAATAATTAACACGTAATATTAGCGGTGTCTGCGTTACAGATTAGGCCTTTACGCCTGTCGCCGATTCTTAACGTCGCAGAGTATTCACAGCTTATTGCAGTCTCGAACTCACAGCTCCAGCATCCACTGTGCTAAACCTCCTGACCTCCTCGCCGATCTGACCAGAAACTCACAGGGAGCTGGGATCGAACCCCGCACCTCACTGCTCCAATCGTGGTACTTTCAACTGTTACCACTGGGCCACCCTGCCAACCCTGTCCAGCTATTGACACAATAGCTGCATGTAGCACTGATACGTCCTTCTTCTGGACCAAACAATGGGTCAATATGATTCACTCAAAAGCAAAAGCTCATCGCTATTTGGACGAAAAGTCACAATAATTTCTCTGGGTGCGAGGCAGCGACAGCTCACCATCCCTGGTACCGATTAATATTAACCATTATTATTAGTAGTAGTAGTATGATGGTTTGCTAGCGCTTCAGCTATCAAGCTATTTCGCACCGAAGGTCAAAATATAACATCGCCAGCAAGAAGGTCTCAATTATTCAAAATATAAAGTTATTCATCACCCACAAGGGGCGGAAGGTCTCAATTGTCCAGCCCGCTGAAGCTGGCTAGAAGGAAGCAGCGTTAGCATCTCAAAGAGACGAAGTGACAAGGAGGGACAAGTGAAAACAAACAGAAGCTAAGACACTCGAACAAGAGGTCGCTTACACGGGACGTCGGCCGCCCGTACGAGAGAGACAGAGAAGGTAAATGTAAGAATCCTACCTACATAATAACTTAATGTAAGGAATCCTACCTACATAATAACTTAATGTAAGGAATCCTACCTAAATAACAACTTAACCCCACAACTGAGACCTGCAGTCAGACACCGCGAGCTCAGCGGTGGGGCGCTCAGGAACAATCCCCCTAGGAACGCGAAATCCCATAGACACCCTGGCCTGGGGCATGACTCACCCTGGCCTGGGGCATGACTCTCTTTAGCCTGGGGCATGACTCACCCTGGCCTGGGGCATGACTCACCCTGCCCTGGGGCATGACTCACCCTGGCCTGGTGCATGACCCAACCTGGCCTGGGGCATGACTCACCCTGGCCTGGGGGCATGACTCACCCTGGCCTGGAGCATGACTCACTTTAGCCTGGGGCATGGCCTCATGCGTGGGGCTGCTGAGCGTCTCTGACGCGGGGCATGACGTGATGCAGAGACCCTGTCCCTGCTCTTCCCCCAGCACCGACTCTGGCACCGTCACAGAGACCGACAAATATCTGCTGGGAATTGGGCCCCTTAACAATTATTTAACAACGAAAGTAATATTAAACAAAAAAATCATCCATTTTTCATGAAACTTGAATTCCTCAAGGTTCATTAATTAACTTTAGTAGTTACGTTAGTCTAATGAGAAAGCCCACATGCGCTGGAAAAAATACTATTTTCGTGGACGTTAATATAATTTTTAAATAGAAATGCAATACAGCGGATGAGACTAACAATTTTTTCATGAACGTAAAAAGTTTATAGTTAAAAATGCTATACATGCTATACTGAAGAAAGATATAATTAAAATACCATATACTAGGTATATTTGATACATTATAATTGATATTATTAACGACGGTGTTAACGTACCTCTGGATCTTCCTGATGGAGACGGTCGCGTTGACGACGCGCACGCCCACGTGCACGTGCTGCCCCGGCACCACCTCCTGCACCCACACCGCCGCCGCCCCCGACGCCTCGACCCCGCCTACAGGACACGGGAAAGGAATTTAAAATCTACGGATTCATTACCAGTCTATTATTATCTGTTAATGCTATTTCATAGCATAGTGATGTCGGCGCTGAACAGTAGGCCTGTGTGGCCTGTCGCTGATTTTTGTCCTTTTCCATAGGAGATCAAAAGGCAGGTCCTTCGACCGAATCTTTTTCATGACTGACGATAGTTTGAAGTAGCTACTAGACTTCAACCGAGTTCGATAAGGTGCTAAGCATTTCAAGTCTGAACATATATTTTTCCATAGCTTTATCTAGTCTGTTCTTGAAGGCGTTCATACTCGGAGCGTCAACGATGCTATCAGGGAGGCTGTTCCATATGTCGGTGACTCGAAGCGAGAAGAAATGTTGTCGCGTGGATGTAATGCAACGCAGTTTTTTTTAGTTTATAGCCATGGCCCCTGGCTTCAAATTTGCTTCTTCTTCTTGCTTCAAATTCTACTTATCCTTCTGGNCAAATAGTGACACAATGGCTCCTTGTAGCACTGATACGTCCTTCTTCCGGACCAAACTGGGTCAAGATGACCCACTTAAGAGCAAAAATTGATCGCTATTTGTACGAAAAGTCTCAATAATTCGTTTGAGTGCGAGGCACCGACAGCTTACCTTAGCTGGTACCGATTAATATTAACCATTAATAATATAAATTAATTAAAATAAACGAATACATTTTGTAATAAATTTAATAAATAAGAATTTTATATTATATCCTGGGGTAAACGTTAACGAGGAACCGACAGCTCACCCTCCCTGGTACCGATTAATATTACCCATCATTAAATATAAATTAATGTATTAAATGTATTTTGTGATGAATTTAATAAATAAATATATTATATCTTGAGATATCAACAATAAGCCACCGACAGCTCACCCTTCTACTACCGATTATTATTAACCATTATTAAATTTAAATAAATTAAAGTTAATAAATGTATTTTGTAATAAATTGAATAAATAAATATTATTATATCCTGATATATCAACAATAAGCCACCAGCTCACCCTCCCTGGTGCCGTCGACGAAGGCGCTGGGGAGCTGCTCGGCCGACGCCTCGTACGTCTTGCCGGAGCCGCACGCGTCTGAACCGCGCACTATCACCGTCACCTGCCGGACAGTGAACAGGAGAAATAGTGAACTATTCAGCGTATATATAATGACAATTAATAATGAACTGTTTGGCGTATATATAATGACAAGGAATAATGAACTATCAGGCGTATATATAATAACAATGAATAATATGGCGTATATATATTAACAATGAATAATGAACTATATAGCGTATATATAATAACAAAGAATAATGAACTATTCGACGTATATAATAAGAATGTATAATGAACTATCAGGCCTATATATAATAAGAAAGAATAATGAACTATTTGGCTAAAACGAAAGGTTTTGACAACGCAGCCAGTGATGCGTTCACTATACACTCACCCACAATAAGAGTGATGGGTTCACTATCCATCATCTCTACAGTTCACTATATCAACCATCATCTACATCAACAGAGCTGTGTTTTTCTTACATTATTCTTCAACTACATCATAAGTGACAATTATTAACTCACAAATTGATAATTTCTCACAACTGTACGTGATTCTACCTTCTGTACAGCGCACGAACGTCGGTTTCAAAGAAACATTGCGTTCAATTAGAGAGAAATTTTCTCAGAGAATAATTGTGTGAAAACGCCACCAACGCTCATGGCGGCCACCAACGCTCATGGCGGCCACCAACGCTCATGGCGGCCACCAACGCTCATGGCGGCCACCAACGCTCATGGCGGCCACCAACGCTCATGGCGGCCACCAACGCTCATGGCGGCCACCAACGCTCATGGCGGCCACCAACGCTCATGGCGGCCACCAACGCTCATGGCGGCCACCAACGCTCATGGCGGCCACCAACGCTCATGGCGGCCACCAACGCTCATGGCGGCCACCAACGCTCATGGCGGCCACCAACGCTCATGGCGGCCACCAACGCTCATGGCGGCCACCAACGCTCATGGCGGCCACCAACGCTCATGGCGGCCACCAACGCTCATGGCGGCCACCAACGCTCATGGCGGCCACCAACGCTCATGGCGGCCACCAACGCTCATGGCGGCCACCAACGCTCATGGCGGCCACCAACGCTCATGGCGGCCACCAACGCTCATGGCGGCCACCAACGCTCATGGCGGCCACCAACGCTCATGGCGGCCACCAACGCTCATGGCGGCCACCAACGCTCATGGCGGCCACCAACGCTCATGGCGGCCACCAACGCTCATGGCGGCCACCAACGCTCATGGCGGCCACCAACGCTCATGGCGGCCACCAACGCTCATGGCGGCCACCAACGCTCATGGCGGCCACCAACGCTCATGGCGGCCACCAACGCTCATGGCGGCCACCAACGCTCATGGCGGCCACCAACGCTCATGGCGGCCACCAACGCTCATGGCGGCCACCAACGCTCATGGCGGCCACCAACGCTCATGGCGGCCACCAACGCTCATGGCGGCCACCAACGCTCATGGCGGCCACCAACGCTCATGGCGGCCACCAACGCTCATGGCGGCCACCAACGCTCATGGCGGCCACCAACGCTCATGGCGGCCACCAACGCTCATGGCGGCCACCAACGCTCATGGCGGCCACCAACGCTCATGGCGGCCACCAACGCTCATGGCGGCCACCAACGCTCATGGCGGCCACCAACGCTCATGGCGGCCACCAACGCTCATGGCGGCCANCCGTCCCGCCACTCACTAAATCAAACGACCGTCCCGCCACTCACCAAATCAAACGACCGTCCCGCCACTCACTAATAGCTGCTGAATATTACAGCGAGAATTATCGAGTGGTCGGATATGCCAAGGCTTGGCAGTTACTAGCGCCTCTTGACCCGCCAAACTGCCCGATTGCTTAAGGCCATCCATCAGCACGAAGAAAAATTACGGCATCAAACGCACGCCATCGATCACACTCGCCGTCAAAACGCGGACCTCGTCGAGCGCAAAGCAAATACGGCGGAACGGCGACTGAACTTCACATCACTCATAAAAATGTATGAGTAATATTGTCGAAAATAGTGACGCACTCTCTTACCCACAGCACGATTAAAGAGTGAAAGTTGCACTGATACGCCCTTATGCCGGGCCAAACTGTGTCAGGATGACCCACAGAAAGTCAAAAAGTGCGTCGCTACTTGGACACAGTCTTGCTCATTTTTCCGAGTGTATAGTTTGGGTGGGTCTCTGAGGACCATAAGAACCGCGGATGATGGATGAAGCCTGCGCGTTGCCTAGCAAGAAATACGGCCTAAGTTCTACCGGACACATAAAAATATGGCCTAAGTTCGGCCGGACACATAAAAATACGGCAGAACTTCTACCAGACACAAATATACGTCCTAAGTTCTGCCGGACACATAAAAATACGGTCTAAGTTCTACCGGATACATAAAAATACGGCCTGTTTTACCGGACACAAAAATACGGCTTAAGTTTTCCCGGGCACGTAAAAATGCGGTCTAAGTTCTAACAGACACATAAAAATGGGGCAAAAAAATCGAGTCTAAATAAATTAATTTAATGAACGGCTGTTTGTGATCGTTGCAAACAGATTTGGAATAAATGTATTTATATTTATTTTTTTTCAAGGACTTTGTTGACAATTAATTATTTTCCTGTCAAGGAAGACTATCCGGATGGCTTGACAAGCTACACAAGATAGAGAAAAATTTTAAAACAACGTTCCTGCGTCTGCTCCCGACGGACCAGAATCCTACGTGGACATAATCCTTCCGATGGACAAAATCTGCATCCAAGTACAAAACTGCTAAGCAAGAATGTGATAAGCCAGAGTCAGAATTTCGCCTTCAGTTTGCTGGTAAGGCTTGTTTGGACGCCGTATCGCTGAATCGATCAACACGCTCGTATGGTCGAAACATAACGCGATTGCGGCGTTCAAAGACAAACTCAAGTGCAGGGATTCCTTCACTAAAATTATAGGCGAAACAGAGGAGGACAAGGGAACCCCTCTCACAAAATTATCGCCGAAAGAAGGAAGGCCAAGGGAACTCCTCTCACAAAATTATCGCTGCAATAAGGAAGGCCAAGGGAATCCCTCTCAAAAATTATAGCCGATAGAAGGCAGGCAAATGGAACCCCTCTCAAAATTATCGGCAAAACAAGGGAGGCCAAGAGAACCCCCCTCTCAAAATTATCGCCGAAACACGGGAGGCCAGAAACTGTCGTCGGTCGGCTAGCAAATGTCGGGAGTAAAATATTTTTCGATGCGTAATTTAAATACTTATCAGATACAATGCAATTTTTTTCAGTAAAAATATGTACAACATCAGACCTGACGAACCGAGCAACAACAGTCAGTCGTACTAAACCCTAGCCTATCATACTTCAGTGCATCAATAGTTTTATATTGACTTGGAAACTTAATATTGTGTTGAGCATCTCTGCGTGACCATACATACATGTTCCCGCAGTCAATCCTCAAGCATATCCAGCAATTTATAGGAAATGACGACCACATGCATTTCTCAACGCGAATTTGCGTTCTTAGCGCGTTTTCTCACTTATGGAAAAAATGCACTATTGTGCTCGCCATGTCCGTCCGTCCGCCTGTCTGTCCGTCCGTGGTTTTACGTTTTCGTCGACGAGTAAATGCGCTGTCACTAGCTCACTGCAGTGAGTACTGTACTGAGTTATATTTTTTTAAGTTCTGAACAAACTGCTCGAATCTGCATGCACAATTGGCGAATAAATGATTGTTGGTAATTCGGCGTAATAATGTTGCGAGTTTGCAGTCCTCGATCAGCAATCAAACTATGCCGAAAACAACTTTGGGTGGAACTGACAACCTCGAACAGTAAGATTAAAAAGCGTGGTAAAGCGACCATACAGTACAAGCCAGTGGTCTTAGAATTGATGTAGTATATCAACACATATAACTCAGTACTCACTGCAGTGAGTGACAGAGAGCGCATTTCTCGTCGACGAAAACGTGAAGTCACGGACAGACGGACGAACCGACGGACGGACGGACATGACGAGCACAATAGGGCATTATTTCATAAATGAGAAAATGCGCTAAAAATGTTGATATAAATGTACCAGATCACATTGTTAAGAAAGTTAATCCGTAATCTAGAGTAATCCGTGTTCAGAAAAGTGCGATGTCTCTGCAGTATAAACACGACTACACCATACACCTAAATTCATCAAATGTAAAAAAGCGTAGCCCGTCTACCTCACACGGTCCGTTTGATCATCCACACGCAAGGGCTCCGTATTTGCTCCAAGCAAGACTTCGCTGCCGTATTCCGACAAGCTTCTTTGATCCTTCAGATTAAAGCTGCTGGGGGAAGAAACGTTCGCGACCGCGATCTCTCGTGATCTTTCTTGATATTTCGTACGCAGAAACGCGATCTTTATTGACCTTTTTACGTACAACCGCAATCTTTCTTGAACTTTTTACGCACAACCGCAATCTTTCTTGAACTTTTTACGCACAACCGCAATCTTTCTTGAATTTTTTACGCACAACCGCAATCTTTCTTGAACTTTTTACGCACAACCGCAATCTTTCTTGAACTTTTTACGCACAACCGCAATCTTTCTTGAACTTTTTACGCCCAACTGCGATCTTTCTTGAACTTTTTACGCACAACCGCAATATTTCTTGAACTTTTTACGCCCAACTGCTATCTTTGTTGTCTTTTTAACGCACAACCACATTCTTTCTCGATTTTTATTTTCGCACAATCGCGATCTTTCTTGCTTTTTATTACACAAGCGGTATTTCTCTATACGGTGAGTATCACCAAACATAGCGCTAATTGTAAGCCTAACTAAAAATTAAAAGTTCTTGTACACGGGCTAGTAATGTACAGGCGCTATATATTAGCCACTGGAGAAGCCAGTAACTCTTTACACGAGGCCAGTATGCGTTTTCATTAGCAGCGGTTATTGTTGGAAAGTTGAACTGGCCGCCACTACTGGCCCCGTGTACAAGCACCTTACAATTAATGAACGGCGTAGAGCACAGCGTTGGACCCTGCGTTGGGCACAGCGTTGGACCCTGCGTTGGGCACAGCGTTGGACCCTGCGTTGGGCACAGCGTTGGACCCAGCGTTGGACCCTGCGTTGGGCACTGCGTTGGACCCTGCGTTAGGCACAGCGTTGGGCACAGCGTTGGACCCTGCGTTAGGCACAGCGTTGGACCCTGCGTTGGCCACAGCGTTGGGCACTAACCTTAGACGTGGCGGTGGCCTGCAGCTGAGGCCCCACGACGACGTTGGTGACCTGCACGGCGAGGTGGGGCGTGTCCAGCAGGGGCCACGCCCCCTCCACCCGACACGTCACAAACTCCCCCTGGGGAAGACACGTGAGACTCGTCACGTGAGGCACGTCATGACGTATACCGTGCACTGATATGCGTACGATGACGTATACCGTGCACTCGCAAACGGGCTCTGAGAAAAAAGCATGGATCACATTGTCCAAAACATGACACACTTTCTTTATCCGTGGAATGAGTACAAAGCGCACGTAGCACTGATACACGCATTCTTGCCGGGGCAAACTGGGTCAGGATGACACATACAAGGACAAATGCTGCATTTCTACTTGGGGAATGTTTCAGTTATTTCTCTATGTGTTATTTTGTCCGTGATCAGTACACGACAAGTTAACTTGATTCATGACAGGTTATCATGACAGGTTTTCAAGATTCATGACAGGTTATCCGTGATCAATACAAGACAGGGTATCATAATTCTTCGAAAATCCTGTTTGAGCAACTAACAGTTAAATTTACTACGTAGAGGTGAGTCTTTTTCCCTGAAGAAAACATCTTTGAGAAAAGTAAAGTCCTGCTCGACGTTTCAGAAAACCCTCTCCCAAAAAACAAGGCTGCGGCCACGAAGAAATTAAAGCGTCTCCTCGGGAGTTACGACCCAAGAAATGGCCGAGATACGCTCAGGAAAATGATGGGGACTTGTCTAAATCGCGATGCAATATTTGTCCTCGTGTGGCTCATGACCCAGTTTGGCTCATCATAAGGGCGTATCAGTGCTACGCCCGCTCTCTGCTCGTACTGCGGGTAAGAAAGAGTGTCACTTTTTGGCCAATGTTACCAACAAATTTTTCTCACTACAGCTAGGGTACAGTGGCAAGGCCTCACCTTGAACGTGCGCAGGTGTGGGTCCCCGAAGAGGCCACAGTGGGCCCTGGGCCTCAGTTCGCCCTTGTAATGGCATGGGCCCAACCCTCCAGTATCCTGCGAATCAGGATTCTCAGGATCCAGAGAGAACGCTTCGATGAGGGAATCGAAATCCTCACCAAACTGCGAGCATTCGTGCCGCGCTAGCAGTGAATTAATAACTTTTAAGTTCGAATGAAAGTTGATGTCGCCGCGACACAAACCCTCGAAGTTCATCGTACACTCGCGGTAGCGTCTGAGCAGCACGCAGAAGAGGGCGTTCGAGCCCTCGTCGACACCGAGGGAAGATCTGAGCTCAATGTACTTGTTGGTGCACGAGTCCTGAGGGCAGAAGCCCAGCGCGCTACCTGAGGGAACACGAGGGCGTGGAATAAGATTAGTTTTTTAATAAAAATAAATGGGGTTGAGAGAAAGATGAAGATTCAAAAATAGAGTAAATAGAAAGGAAAAATAAAATAGATAGAAAGTTATCTGGATAGAATAAAGAACATAATAGATGGAATGCTCAACTAAAAAAAAAGAGAATGCTGATCGAAGTTTCAACCTAAGGTGTGTGGTTGAAACTTATTTCATACACACGAGTGTATGAAATAAGTTTGTCACTTAAAATGAATGGGATAGACAGAAAATAGCAAGTTTCAGAGTTTCATGTCATTCATAAATAAAAACGCAAATTCGTCTGTTAAGGCTGTATGATTTAATGAACAGCGGTTAAATAAGAGTTCTTTCGTCCATAACGAAGTATTGCGAAATATGCAAGTCAGCGCAAACCGATATTACTCTTTCAAAGAATTAACATGACTCTGAAATTCCCTCGCCTCTAACTGCACTCAACATTTTTCGAACCAATTCATTTTGTTGATGGTATTTACGGCAGATGGAATTGAATTTTGTTGAATTTCCGTAGGAATTCGAGAATACTTGTCTGGTATACAAAAATCACTTATCTGGTATATAAAAATAAAATCATTCGCCGAGCCCCAACACATGTTTAGACAATGTATTAAAGATATGCCGACTTAATCATTTATGCCTTATCATTTCAAATATAATTATATATTTTCAGTATTTCCGTCAACACACAAGCTGGAACATTGATTTATCTATAACGTAATTAATTTAGTCAGGTAAAGGAAATAGAGGCAGGCGGAGGAAGTGGAGGCAGGAGTAAACTTTATTATTGGCTCTAAAAATGTCAAATTATTCGAAAATGAGAATTGATATGAAAGAGGATTTCCGGGGTCGAATCTTGAAGGAAGTGACGTACGATGCGTCGATGAAGAATCGACGGACTTGAACCTAGAGTTATGGCTTTCATATCCAGACTGTATCGAGTCGCATCTTCCATATCCAGACTGCTTAGAGTCGTGGCTTTCATTTCCTGACTGTATCGAGTCGAGACATTCATATCCACACTGTATCGAGTCGTATCTTTTATATCCAGACTGTATAGAGTCATGGCTTTCATATCCAGACAGCATTGGCTGATGGCTTTCGTATCCAGGCTGCGAGAGAGAGCAGCAGCATGAGTCAACATGGCTGTCATGCGCAGCCATGTTCCTCGTACGCTCTAACATGTATGGAAAACTGCGGCCATCTGATGTTCTGCTGCTTTTCATGGAGCTCATGAATTCACGGGGATTTAATCCATGAGTACGAATTTTTCCATAATACAGCGTATCCATCGCCATGCCTTCTTCTGATCTCAAATCCAAGTTGCACTGATCTTAGATCCACGCTTGGTGGGGTGAACGGATTACCAACAGACGCACATTCACCCACACTTGTTGCGAATCACCTAAAAGTTTTCTGGCCACTGAACCAAAATAACTGATCTCTGTATAAGTGGACCGAGTAGTAGGTTTCAACACGGAGTATAGAAACTGCGTAGCTCCTTGCCTTGCAAATCATCACAGCGGCCATAAGAAAAGAAACGATATTCAAACAATAAGAAAGCAGAAATTTTCTTCATTTTCTCACCGATTCAATAAGAATTAAATGGTAAAACTTTAACAGTAAATATTACCATGTAATTTATCCTGCAAAACAATAAAATAATTAGATAAATGCTCTGGAATTTCATGTTGCAGCTCTAGCTTTTTATTTGCTGCTCAGGTGCTTGAAGGCATTACATCGCACCAATTAAAATTGTATAGAATATGTACCGGTTAGTTTAAATAATTTTAGCAGGCCTTACGACTTATATATAGCGTTCATTTACCCTCTGAACCATTGACAGATACATGACTACTGATGGTTTGTCGCCCGTTATGCAGCCCATGGTTGAACTAGTATAAGGTTGACCCATCAGAAGCCAATTTTTATGGCTGGAGTTCGTTGTTCGCCTGTGACGTCACTGATCTCAGTGAAGTCACGGGCATTAACCAATCACCGAAATGCAATCAAACCAGTCAACCAATCCGTCATGAGAATGACGGGATTGTTTACGTTTCTCGATCTCAGTGACGCATGTAGAAAGCTGAACTGAAAGACGGAACTTCTCATGGGTCAACCTTATATAGTTCAACCATGATGCAGCCAACCGGAATCCTCCCAATTGTGCGGATTTAGGCCGGGGGCCAAACAACAATACCGGGCACGCGCCTGACATATGCCAGTCACGGTCCGGTCCAATATTCTTTAATGCTTTATTCATATAAGCATTTAAACCATGGGCCTGACCGGTGCCTTGCAAGGCTGGTGTGAATGCTTCTATAGAAATGCAATAGAATATTGGAATATTGTACTGGAATATTGTACTGTAATATATTGTACTGGAATATTGTACTGGAATATATTGTACTGTAATATATTGTCCAATATACAGTCCAATATATAAAATATCAGACTGGACCTTTACTGGCATATGCCTGCATCATGGCATAGGTCCAGTAGTGTGGTGTGAACCCGGCCTTGCGCAGCTTCTCAACAATCCAATAACTTTCCGATAATTGCTAAGTGAAAACCGTATAAAATGTTCCCGTCAAATCCAGACAAGTTGTAAGAGAAACAGGCTTTGCGGGGGCAAAGCTATAATATTATATTATTACCTTATATATTAACAAAAACGGAAAAAATGTAGATAATAACATAGAGGTATTGAAAACCATGAAGATATTGTCATAAGATTCTTTGTATGCGCTTTCAATACATCAGTTCTGCATATAAAAAATTAATCAAAGTATGAAGTCCTGAAGATAAATGAAAAAGTCACAGAATATAGTTTGTAATTAATGATAAAATATATCATTCGTGTCGCGTAGTAGGCTCTGGAATTCGTCTGCTCCAGCATTTTTGTGNTAGAGATGGTAGAGGTAGAGATGGTAGAGGTAGAGATGGTAGAGGTAGAGATGGTAGAGGTAGAGATGGTAGAGGTAGAGATGGTAGAGGTAGAGATTGTAGAGGTAGTGATGATAGAGGTAGAGATTTTAGAGGTAGTGATGGTAGAGGTAGAGATTGTGGAGGTAGCAATAGTGCATCCACCTGGACACTGTTGATTACAAACGTGTACAATTCAACACACACACAGCTGAACACACGCACACACACACAGACACACAGCTGACCACACAAGGCGTGAGTGTACATGTTGTAGTTGACATGTAAGCAGCGCTTGACCGGTTCAGAAACACTGAATCCATAACACGTGAGGAGGACAAAAATTTTCATATATTGGTAGGAATTGCTCATACAGAAAAAGTCTCAGCCTAGTGGAGGATTCATATTGAAATTTTTATGAAATAGCACACAAAATCGTCAATTCAGTTTCAGGATACAGATGAAAATTGAAGACGTTCCGGTAACATGAATTAAACCCAAAATCAACAGAATTGGAACCAATAATTCTAAAGAAGTTAGAATTTAACAGTATTGAGAAGTGTCCTCAAGCAAACAGTGTTACAGAAGAGCAACTTTCCTTAGTTGTTTAGTGTATGTGCAGGGGGCCACTATATATTGGCGGCTAGTACAACCTACAAAACTAACCGCCACTATTTACCTCGCTATATAGCCTCGCGTACAGGCACTACTGGCCACGTACGGAAGGACCCATATGTGCAAGGCCAGTAACACGGTAACTAGTGGCGGTTAGTACTGGCCGCCTAGTGGCGGCCAGTACAAATTTCCAAAAAGTTACTTCCGTAAACCCACTCTCTTGAATCAGGATTACAAAACTATGCTAAAATGAAAATAACTAAGAATAAATAACCTAAAGTAACAAATGAATGAACAATTCTCGAGAATAAACAATTTTCGTCCATAGACTAATCTAACTCTACAGAGTATAACAAAATCAATAAGACATTTAAATAATCACTAAATGTAAAACACAGAGATAAACAAACAACCAAGATAACACACCTTGACACTGTGGGTTCAAATGCGGGACTGACTAGAAGGACGATAGCCTACAAATCTAACTTCCGCATTTTTAAACTGATACTAAAATTTGAAAAATAAATAATTATAAAATGTTAGATCCTATAATTCCCTAACATTGCCATTTCATTTAACTTCGTTACCATCAACCAACTGTAAAATAAATACCGTTAAACATTAGCTACCAATATACTCCTAGTATTGACACGGACCTAGTCTGCAACCAATATACACAGCTAATAGCCCTGTGTATAAGCACCTTAATGTAGGATCAAGTAATTCCAGTTTGTCAGACGCATTTACATAACCGTTCTAGCTCATGTAACTTGGTCTCCAAACTTTCATTCAATAAATGAGGAGAACTCCTCCCGTGTTTCATTCCCCAACACGCATGCTGGGGAATGAATTCCCCAATGCATTCCCCAACATTCATACCGTGTTTCATACGAAACACGCATGTAAAAATCTAGCACACTCAGGTCACAGACTCACACGCCTTAGCCGAAACATCAGGCGTATGGTTCAACCAAACGTTTGGCACGAGTTAGACCTGAGGGAACTATACGGCGCTGCTGGCGTTCCCAAGTCTTACAATCATATTAATAGTAAAAAAACAGAAATTATATTCTAAAGCAAAGAAGAATGTCTTGTATATGAAGCATAGACAATTACGCCCCGTAACTGTGGAGATTATTATAGAACACATTAATGAATTATCGCGTAAAGTTTTAATGAAGATCGCTATTGAACGAACGAATTCATAAAATATTAACGCACCACACAAAAACCACTTTCTTCTCAAAAACCACTTGGTCTGTCATAAAAAAGATGAAAGATATTTACTTTTTTTTATTCAATTTCGATATTCGACGAGTAAGTTAACCTGCTTTGATCAACAGCGGCTACGCAAAAATAGATACGTCCTTTTGCGAGGCCTAAAATGGTTCAAGATGAGCCATAAAAGTGCATCGTTATTACGACAATGGCCCTCCTATTTTATCAAGTGCAGTTTTGAATCACACCAATGAACAGTT